CCCTCTCCTCTGGCAGAAAAAATAAATTAGCAGTTGGATTTATTTCCTCACATGCCACTGTCTTTGCCCTTTCTTCTCTCAAAAGGATGAAGAAAAGTTTTGGTTGCCTTAAAATGATCATCCACCTTGCTTTTCCTTGAACCAACACAACTGTTGACTTAACCAGTTCCCATAAACATACATAGGACCGCTCTCCTAGTCAAGGTTATTTTGGTTGCAAGAAACAGAAACTTGCCCTGGCTGGTTTGGCTCAGTGGCTAGAGCGTCAGCCTGCAGACTGAAAGGTCCAGGGTTCAATTCTGGTCAAGGGCACATATCCAGGTTGTGGGCTCGATCCCCATTTAGGGGTGTGCAGGAGGCAGCTGATCAGTGATTCTCTCATCATTGATGTTTCTATCTTTCTCTCCTCTCCCTTCCACTCCAAAATCAATACAAATATATTTGAGAGAGAGAGAGAGAGAGAGAGAGAGAGAGAGAAACTGTTCAAACTAGCTTAGTCAAAGGAAGAGAGTTTATTATAGGGATTTCTCCAGGGACCTAACAACAGAAAGTCCTCCATTCATTCTCATTCTCAGATCTTTAGAACAGAGCCTGGCATCAAATAATATAGTAGTGGTAGTACTGTCATCATTTCTCATACTGCCCTTGATAAATTGCCGGTTGATATGTCTGCCTTATCAATGAGAAAAGGGTGTGTCCTTTACTCTCAGTCCCCACTGCCTGCCCTATAGCACCCACCTAATTAACAGCTGTTCATTGCACAAATGAACAGACAGATTCCGTTAGGCCCTACAGGGCATAGAAGTAAATTCAAAAGCCGGGGCAGAAGACACACACAGCCTGGGCTGGCTGAAGGCCCACTTCTGTAAAAGGGCCCGATAGCACGTTTTTAGGCTGTCTGGGCCACACACTCTGTTACAAACATTCATCTCTGCCAATGCAGTGGGAAAGTGGCCCTAGGCAATAGGTAAATGAATGGACTTAGCTGAATTCCAGTAAAATTTCATGTGTGGCTACTAAAATTTAAACTTCCTATTATTTTCACAGCATAAATGCTATTCTTTTTCTCCCCCAACCACTTACAAATGGAAGAACTCTCCTTAGCCGTTCAAAACCAGCGAGCTGGTTTGGTTTCGCACGTGCCACCGATTAGCCTTTGGCAAAGGCTCGCTCCAAGGTTTCAGCCGAGGAGTTCGCGCTCCTAGGAGGGCGCCGGCACGGATGCTGGCTTGGGATTGGGCCAGGGACAGTGGGCGGGGCCTAAAGTGGGCGGCTTCCTGACGTGTACGTGGTGGGAAGGGGTAGTCCCGGATTGGTCCGCACCAGCGGCGGCTGTTCAGCACTCAGCCAATCAGCGCTGCGCTTCCACCATCGCTCCGCCTCGCGCTAGCGTCTACGTCACGCGGGGAGCGCGCTACCCCTCTTGCGCGTCCGGCACCACTTCCGGGCACTGGCGCGGCGTGACGTCAGGAGGAGGGCAGGTAAGGGCTGGTAGGCGGAGGGGCGGCCAGGCCGGTAGGGGCCCGGGTAGTGGGGTGAAGTGGGGGTGTTAGGCTGCTACCTCACCCAGTCTCGGGGCCGTCCTACTGACCGAGCACGCCGGGAGGATGGGGGGCGGAGCGGAGAGGCACGGTTCTGGGGGCGCGGGCCGTTGTCCAGGTCCCAGTCGTGACCCCGACCCAAATCCCGGGCTACGGCCTGACTCCAGACCCAGCCTTGGCCCATGTTATGCCTGAAGGGCCCCTCGGTTTACTACATCTAGAAAATAGAACCAGTACGCCCCTGCCTCGCTGGGTCGTGGTGAAGATTTTGTAAAATAAACTCTTGTAAAACGGTGGGCATGAGAAACAATCACAACCACCAACGCGGTTAATTCGCCGTTAGGTGCTGTAGTGAGAACTTTAACTCACAGTCATAACTGCAACCTTATCAGGTTGATAATTTGTTTGCTTGCTTGCTTTTAATCATTTTTTTTAATTTTTTTGTGAAGTTTTTGGTCATTCATGTTGTAACAAATCTTTTTTAAGTTTCTTTATTGATTAAGGTATTTGTACTCATTCCCCCATTTGTACTCATTCCCCCATTCCCACCCCCAACCCCTCCCCACGTATGTCTATCCTCACTCTCCCCCTCTCCCCCTTGTCCATGACCACTGGTTAGGCTTATATGCATGCATACAAGTCCTTTGGTTGATCTCTCCCCCTACCCCCCCTCCCAGGTTGATACTTTGTTAAACCCTATTTGATAGATGAGGAAACGGAGGCCCAAAGAAAGTGAGCAGCTTGTCCAAAGTCAGGCCACTTGAAAGCAGCAGAGTCGGTATCCGAGTCCAAGTAGTACTTCCTGGGCAAATACAGTATGTTTGCTCTTGACACCAGGGATCAGAGATTCCCATCTATCCAGCCTGTTATACTATTCACTGGGGTGTAAACCATGTTAAGACTCCTGGCTCCTGTAAACACAGTACTTTGTACAAGCACTTCCCACTGTGTTATTTCATCCACAGCAACCCCAGCAAATCAGCCTTGTTGCCCTCATCCGCTCTTTACAGGTGAGGAAATATAATAATTCAGGGAAGCTCGGACACTGGGCAAGGCCACCCAGTGAATGAGGAGTAAAGCTGAGATTCAAGCCCAGGGAACTGTGACCCCAAAGTCTGGGTGAGCACTTAGCTATTTTGTTAGCAAAAACATCCAGGAGTTGCCGAAGCTGGTTTGGCTCAATGGATAGAGCGTCAGCCTGTGAACTGAGAGGTTCTGGGTTCAATTCTGGTCAAGGGCATATACCTGAGTTGCAGGCACATCCCACTGGAGAGTGTGCAGGAGGCAGCTGATCAATGTTTCTCTCTCATCGATGTTTCTCTCTATCCCTCTCCCTCTCTGTAAAAAAATCAATAAAATATATATATATTTAAAAACATCCAGGGGCACTTTTTTTTTCTTTTTTTAAAATATATTTTATTTTATTTTAAATATATTATTGATTTTTTTACAGAGAGGAAAGGAGAGGGATAGAGAGTTAGAAACATCGATGAGAGAGAAACATCGATCAGCTGACTCCTGCACCCCCCCACTGGTGATATGCCTGCAACCAATGTACATGCCCTTGACCGGAATCGAACCTGGGACCCCCAAGTCCGAAGGCTGACACTCCATCCACTGAGACAAACTGGTCTCGGCTCAGGGGCATTCTTTACAGATGGAGGACCCGAGACAGATGTTCGGGACAATGTCGGAGCAGTTTACATCCAGGGCTTTGCCTCCTGGTCCTGTCTCCCCATCAGCTTCTGACTCTGGCAAGTTACTTAGGTCCCCACGTCAGTTGGAAATAATAGTACAATACAGAGTAAATGGGACAACAATGTCAGGCTCAGTGCAGCCCCCAGCACACAGTAACCATTAGAAAGTGCACAACTAAAGTAGCAGCAACAATTAGACCACGCTTCCTGACTAGCACAGGGAGCTGGCAGAGGACACCCACAGGCCAAAACCAGCCTGATTTTGTACAACCTGCCGCCAGCCAAGAGAGATACTGATTTCTTAAATGATTGGGGGAAACTCAAAAAGGAAGATACTTTGTAACGAGTGACAGTCATGTGAAACGCACATTTCAGTTATCTTGGGGTACAGCACACCCATTCATTTACATCTCGTTCACAGCTACCGTATTTTCCGACGTATAAGATGATTGGGCGTATAAGACGACTGGGCTTATAAGACGACCCCCGATTTTCGGTTGACTTTTTTTCGTTTCAAAAGTCATCTTATACGCCGGGAAATACGGTACTTTCTGTGAACTGGCGATGGGCAGAATGGAGTTATTGGGACATTGATAAGTCTGGTCCGGAGAGCCAGCAGCATTTACTCTATGTTCCTTAACAGAAAACTTGCCAATCCCAATTCAAGACCTAAAAGTCTCTCCTCCAAACATGCAGGGTGTAGGGGGTGTCTAACCCCATTTCAGGAGCCCCTGCATTTGATACCTGTGTCACCTGCCACTGATTCTTACGGAAATTTCAATCAGTTACCCATGGTTCTTCTGTCAGAACTTTTTTTTTAGTTGTGTTGTGTTTTTTTTATCCTCACCCAAGGATATGTTTATTGACTTTAGAGAGAGAGGAAGGAGGAGAGAGAAAAACATCCATCAGTCGCCTACCATACCTGCCCTGACCAGGGATCAGACCGGTAACATTTTGGTGTACATCCAGCTACCTGAGCCAGAGGCCAGGCCTTGTGTCAAAATTTATTAGAGAGCAGGTGCTAGAGGTATGGCAAAGTGAGATCTTGCAGAGGAGGCAAACTGTAGACAAGTAAACAGACACGGGGTGATGTGATGGGAACTCCAGGGGAGAAGTGACTCCAGCGAGGCCTCTGACAAAAGTGAAGTTTGAGCTGAGGCCTGTGACAAAGCACAGACAGCTCTCAGAGGAGCACTCCAGGCAGTTGGCCTGCACCTGCTTAGCCTCTCAAGGCAACCAGGAAGAGTGAGCACAAGGGAGAGGGGTGAGAGGCAGGCTTGGAGAGGGAGGCAGGGGTTCCACAGCCCACAGCCGGGGAGCTGAGGAGAGTACATGATTCTCAAAGCAATGGGAGTAACTGGAGGGGTTTAAGCAGGAGAGCGGTATTTTAGATTCTTTTTTTTTTTAAAGATCCTCCTAGCGCCTGTGGGACGAGGGCAGAGTGAGACCAGAGAGAGGTGACTACACTGGTGGAGGGGAGCGATGGCAGGGGCCACGGAGGGGTGAGAAGTGTTAGCTGTGAATATATGTTGGATGACGAGTGGACAGGACACTAAACCAACAAGCGCTGCTCTTTGGACACCTGGGGGAAGGCTCTCCGGAGTCGACACCACCTTACCCAGCCCACAGTACCTTCTCAGGGAACCCGGCTCCCCAGGAGAGGGGGGCTGGGCGGATGGTCAGCATAGCACAGTCCGTCAGTGTCTTGTCCTCTTTTCAGATTGGCCACGTTGAGGGTGAGGACCAGTAGGCAGCTCCCAAGATGGTGAGTAGACTGGCTTGTGTTTCTTGGGGTTCTTTTCTAGTCTTCAGTCCCCCACAACAGCCTCTTCCTCCCCTAACGCCCTTCCCTGTCCCTGAGCTCTAAGATGGCATTTTCAAACTCTGGATTCATGATCTTTTGGTGCCGTAGTTCTCAAACTTTGCTTCACATTAAAATCTCCCCAGAAGCTTTTTTCTTCCTTTGATTTTTCTTTTTTAATGAGGTGAAATTCTCATAACAAAATTAACCATTTTAAAGTGTATTATCCCAGGGCATTCCATTATCTCTTAACTATCTCCAAAATGTTTCCATCACCCAAAAGGAAACTCCTTCCCTATTAGCAATCACTCCCATTCCTCCCTCCTCCAGCCCCTAGCAACCACCAGTCTGCTCCGTATCTCTATGGATTTGCCTGTTCAGGACATTTCATGTAAATGGGACCACCTGCTATTGGGCCTTTATACCTGGCCTCTTTCACTTAACTGAATGTCTTCAAGATATGCCCAGGGCAGAAACCTGTTTGGCTCAATGGATAGAGCGTCGGCTTTGGGACTGAAGGGTCCCAGGTTCAATTCTGGTCAAGGGCATATACACTGGTTGCGGGCATATCCCCAGTAGGGGGTGTGCAAGAGGCAGCTGATCGATGACTCTCTCTCATCAATGTTTCTAACTCTCTATCTCTCTCCCTTCCTCTCTGTACAAATCAATAAAATATATTTTTTTTAAAAAAGATATGCCCAGGATGTAGTATGTATCAGAGCTTCATTCTCTTTAATGGTTGAATAATATTACAATGAGCGGATGGACCACCTTTGGTTTATCCATTTATCCATGGATGGGCATTTGGGTTGTTTCCACTTGTTGGCTGTTGGGAATAATGCTGCTGTGAACAAGGATTTGTTTAAACATGTTTTCCAGGTTGCTTTTTAAAAGCCCGGTGTTCAGGCGCCCCTCTCCAGAGCAGGTGCGCTGTCAGGAGTTTTCTGGGCGTGGGTCCCAGGTAGCAGTGTTTCAGAAACTCCTCAGGTGGCTGTAATGTGCAGCCCAGTTTGAGTCCCACTACTTTGGTGGGTCCTTCAATCATCTCAGCAAGTGGCTGTCAGCCTTTAAAAGAGACTCCCCAGCCAGGGTTAGGATTTTTTCATGAAACCTGTGCCTCAGCTGAATTGCGAGCATGTCTGCCCTGTTGCATTGTTAAATGTGTCTTCCTGTAAGTCAGACCCCCCAAAATGCAAAAGCCATTGCTCTAGGAGAGTGGGACCCTCGTGGAATTTTCCATGGCAAAATTGGGTTTTCTCCCAGGTCACCAGCCCTCGATCAGACACGGAGCCCAGGGCCGTCCTCAGTCTCCCTCATCCAAGCCCCGCCCCTCAAGGCTGCACCACTGGGTCTCCTGCAGGACACTCTCTGAGTCATGTCTCTCTTCTGCTTTCCAGGGTGAAAGGAAAGGTGTAAACAAGTACTACCCTCCCGATTTCAACCCTGAAAAGGTAAGAGGCAGGCTTCCTTCCCCACGTGCATGACTGCAGAGACCGCCGGGGCAGGGTGAGGTCTGCGCCAGGGCATCCTCACCATCGGAGCCACCGCTGCAGGAGCATGGGCGACCCTGAGATCTCTCTGCCTTGCTCTTGTGGCACGAGTCTTGGGGTAGTCTTCACCCCAGAGGAAAACATGGCTCTCGCCAGTGACCTGCTCTGTGCTCAGCTTGGCGTATTTCCAGCAGAACTCAGGATGAGGTCAGGCACTCAGGCCCTGGTTCGGATCCCAGCCCCTCAGGTCTCCTCGTTCCCTCCGCTGTTCCCTCTGCTTGGAATCTCTTCCTCCATTTGACCTCAAGGTTTTTTCCCTTCCTTTAGGGCTCTACTCACACAGGGATTCCCTGTCCATTGTCTCATTCTCTTATTTCATTACCTAGTGATGTTTCTCTTCATAACTCTATAAGGCTCCCTGACACATTATCTATTGAGTATTGTCCATTTCCCCTTTAGAACATTCACTCCACTCAGGTAGAGACATTCCATCTTGTTCACGGCTGTGTCCTCATAAAAATAGAGCAGTGTTTCCCAAAGTGTGGTACACGTACCCCCACGGGTACGGGAAGAGTTTGGTGGGGGTACGTGTTGTACCGGAGTTTGGTGGGGATATGCATTGCACCGTGCTTAGCTGTGCCTAATTCTACGTTCTCATGAGTACGAGGGGTACTCAGCATTACGAAAATTATAAAAGGGGTACACATATGTCAAAAGTTTGGGAAACACTGCTTAGGGGCTGAGAGGCTGAATAAGGTCTGCTGAGTGAGTCAGTGGGATCTGGCTGCATGGCCCCAGGCCCTTGACTCGGCCTCTCTACACCACAGTTTTCCCATGTCAGAAAGGAAATAAAACAGCCTGTCCTCAGAATTGCTGAGGGATTAAAATGAGGCAGCCACGTAAAGTAGCCAGTAAACGTTTGCCAGTTCTCCCCACGACACTCAGAGGTAATTACGGAACCTAGACTCAGGGAGGCAAGTGGTGAGGTTACTACCCAGGTCACACAGCTCTTCCAGCTCTAAAACAGGAGAGGAAAGATTCAAACTCATGTATTCATGAGCCCAACCGCATTGGCTTCCCCAGAGCCTCTGCCTTCCGTTGTGCTGGCAGTACCCCTGGGAGGCCGTAAGAGAGACCTCTCTCGGTCTGTGCCAGAGAGCACGAGTTTGCCCACTCAGCATTGCTAACCTCCTTCCTCCTCTCTGCACAGCATGGCTCGCTCAACCGATACCACAAGAGCCACCCGCTCCGGGAGCGGGCTCGGAAGCTGTCCCAGGGCATTCTCATCATCAGGTAAGGCCCAAGAACTCCTGCCCCTTGTGCCACCTGGCCTCAATCACAAGGAGAATTCAGCACTCCAGTGTGCCCAGTGCTGCAGGATCTTAATTCTGTTAAGCAGAGAATCACTGTATCAGTCAGCTGTTGCCACATTACCAAACAATAAGCACATATTGCTCACAAGTCCAAGGCTCAGCTGAATGTCTCTGTTGGCCTTACTGTCCTGGCTATAGGAACATTTGTCAGCCATTTTTATCCCCCCTAAGTATGTGCCCTTTGCAGTGCAGCTGTGGCCAGAGTTGCAGGTGTGGAGTCTAAGGTGGAGCCCGGTGGACAAAAGCAAATAAGCTGTTTTCTGTTTGTGTAGATTCGAGATGCCATATAACATCTGGTGTGATGGCTGCAAGAACCACATTGGCATGGGTGAGTTTCCACACATCCCCTGCTCCCACCCAGCCCACCCCTATTCAGTCCCCCAGACATTGAAGCCCATTAACTACCAGGGTCATCTCCATCAGGGACTGCCAGCCAGGAATCTGGGAGGAGGTGGCACCCAAGTGCCTGGCGGGCTGCGGGTGCCTCATTGCAGAGAGGTGAGGAGGCCAGGCTTTGTGTGCATCTCCTAGCTGAGTGATCCTGGGCAAGTGACCGAGCCTCTTTGTGCCTCAGTTTACCCATCTGTAAAATGCAGATGGTCTGAGTATCCGCCTGTGTGGCATGTAATGCATGTAGTGCACAGCCTGGCCTGCATGGTTCAGTGGTTGAGTGTCGACCTATGAACCAGGAGGTCATGGTTCAATTCCAAGTCAGGGCACATACCTAGGTTTTGGGCTCATTCCACAGTGGGGATGTGAAGAAGGCAGCTGATGAATGATTCTCTCTCATCATTGATGTTTATATCTCTCTCCCTTCCTCTTTGAAATCAATAAAATACATTTTAATAAATAAAAGTGTGTAGTGCACAGCACGTGGCATATGGGAGGGCTCGTGAATTCAGTCTGCTGCTATCACTGCCCTTGACTGTCGCCATTAGCATTTGGGCCTTTGACTGTGCCACAGTGCGCTGATGCATAGACAGACAGGCGTGGTCCAAGGTCTTGCTCAGCCGGTGAGGCCTTGGTCTGATGACTCAACTCTCCTGACTTTGTTTCCTCCTCTGGGATCCTCGCGGCGCCTCCCTCAGCTCCTCACACAGCACCTGGGCCAGGGGAGCAGCTCATGGAGCTGATGGCTCTCAGTGAGCGGATCCAGTTCTGGCAAAGGCTGTGGAAGTGCAGGAAGGGGTAGGCCCAGCCACCCGACTGCAGAGGAGGACAAGTGAGCCCTTGTGGTGTCTCCCTGATCAGAGCCGGCCAGGGCATCTGCCTTATAGGCCACCAGGCACTCAGGGACAAAAAGTGGGGCTTGGCCTGCCACCACCACACATGGGTCACCCTCAGGGACATGATTGGAAGCGGGACCCATGAGAGGAAAACCCAGCTAAGCCACACCTCTCGCCAGCCCAAGCTCTGTTTTTCTAGTTTAAGCATATTTCACTGATAAACAAGTTCATACAGAGTCAAGAATATATATCATCTAGCTAGCAAAATAATAAGAAATCTGAAAATTCTCTAGAAAAATAGTAAGTCCAGCCCTTCTCAAATGTTTGCTGAGCCAGGCCCTATTCTAAGCAATATGTGTTTTATTAGCTCCTGCAGTTTTCACAATAGCCCCGTACAGAAGGCATTATAATCATCCCTGTTGCATAGATGTGGACCCAGGCCCAGAGGGGTGAGCTTGCTGACCTGAGCTCACACAGCTGATAGGTGGTGGAATCAGGATTCATCCCAGACCCTCTGGCTCCTGCCTCCCCTTCTCTGTGGCTTGAGCACCTGTCACACAGCCTGATCACAGCTCTCTGCTGCCTTGAATTTTAGTGCCCTCCTGGCGGCCTCCTCCACAGGGGCGCAAAATGCCACCCCTGCCTGCCCCCTACCCAGGTGCGTGGGCTCCAGCCTCGCCTGAGCCTCCACTCCCCTTCTCCTTCCAGGTGTTCGTTACAACGCGGAAAAGAAGAAGGTTGGCAATTACTACACGACCCCTATCTACAGGTATAGGCAGCCTGGCGGGTGTCTCAGGGACATGTGGGCGGCCGCAGGGCGAATGGGCTGAAAAGGAGTCTTAAGGGGAGGGAAGCTGGGACCCTCTTCCTGATGGCCATCACCTGTGTTCTGTCCAGAAAACCATCCTGGTGTGTCAATCAATACATCCCTCTGTCTAGACCCCTCCATGGCTCCCACCTTCCTCAGAGTAAAAGCTCTCCCCATGGCCCTCAAGACCCCTAACACCCTGCTCTATCCCATCCCTGCTCTCACCTCCTCCCACACTTCCCCTCACTCACTCTGCACCAGCCACTCGGGCTCCTCACTGTCCCTGTCTCTTACCTCTGTTCCCTCTGTCCCCTCCACCTCTGTCCCTTCCCTTGGGTTTCTACACCACCACCACCTCTCAAAGAGGACTTTCCTAAAGTGACAAGTACCACCCCACACTGCGGTTGCTTGTGTCTTTGTGGGCAACATGGCCCCTGCTGGAGTGTTCATCCCTCCGAGTGTAGGTTGATTTGTTTCACTGCTATGTCCCTGGCAACCTGTGCTACGTCAGCCACAGACCAGCCTAGCTCAGGAGTGTTTGTTGAGTGAATGAATGAGCAAACGAATGAATGAATGAACAAACTCCAGACAGTAGTTCTGGTGTAATGGGACTATTTCTGTCTCGCCATGGCTGTATCCCCAGGTATGGAACTTAGTAGATGCTCAGTAAACACTTGCTGAGTGATGGTCACAGGTAGAAGGAAGCAGGCAGGGGTCACATGGCAGCGTGGGGTGGCTGCAGTGTCCTGATTCCTGCCCACCTCCCAGATTCCGGATGAAATGCCACCTCTGCGTCAACTACATCGAGATGCAGACGGACCCTGCCAACTGCGACTATGTGATCGTGAGTGGTGCCCAGCGCAAGGAGGAGCGCTGGGACATGGAGGACAATGAGCAGGTGCTGACGACAGGTGAGCACCTCAGGCAGCCCAAAGCCACCCCTGCCTGACCCTGACCCTGACCCTGACCTGAAGTGGGCCCCAGAAGGCCCAGCCACATTCCCACCCTTGCAGAGCATGAGAAGAAGCAGAAGCTGGAGACAGATGCCATGTTCCGTCTGGAGCATGGGGAGGCCGACCGGAGCACACTCAAGAAGGCCCTCCCCACCCTGAGCCACATCCAGGAGGCACAGAGCGCCTGGAAGGACGACTTCGCCCTCAACAGCATGCTGCGCAAGAGGTTCCGGGTGAGTGGCCCCAGCCCAGGAACGGAAGCACAGGCCGCCGGGGCACCTGGCATCGCTAACATGGCAAGTTAAGACCCAGGTCCAGCCCTGTCCCCATCACACACTAGCCACAGGCCTGTCATTTCATCCACTGAGCCTGATTTTCCACCTGCATCATGAAGACCTCACAGCGCCCACGGGAGGCACCTAGCCCAGCGGCTATTTTTCAGCTCGTAGCGCCTTCCCCTGTGGGGACTGGGCTTCGCTTTCTGCAGATCTCAAGGGATAAACGAGCCTCAAGCGAGGGCACGGGTGCAGCCTGACCCTGCTGTGGTATCAGATGGAGGCCCAGCAGGGTACTGACCAACTGGTCAACTCCTAACACGCATCCCATGGGCCCACTCAGCTGTCCCAAAACAAAATCCATAGACTGTCAGCCTGCCCCAAAATAATTTCCAACGTAATCCCTGCCATGTGCTGACTAGGAGAAAAAGGAAAAAATTTTATTATTTATTATTTATGATAAAATACATACAGTAATGCATATTTCAGTTCGTGTAATGTGTGGGCAAGAGAGCTGCACCTCACCTGTGTGGAGAGCCACAAGGGCACGGGTACAAATGCCGAAGGACACCGGGTATTGCCGTCAGTGACCACAAGGGCTCCTGAAGTTGTACCAGAACTGTTGGGTGGGGCTATGAAAACTAGTGCCCTGGCTGGGTAATCACCCATATAAATTGGGTTTTCACCTTGCAGGGTCGGACAGGGCACTGTGAGAACCTTCTCCTTCTCTTACGCTGTGGGGAAGACTGTGCCACAGGACACTACAAATGGAGCCCAAGCAGAGCACTAGGCTAACCCCCAGGCCACAAGTTCCCTCACTCTCCTCTACCTCCTATCTCTTCCTGCTTCCTTTTCTGATCCTTCTGTGGTCATCATTAGGAGTAAAATTACTAGTTTGTTTTTATTTATTTGAGAGAGAAGGGAGAGAGAACAATCGATTTGTTGTTTCACTTATGCATTCATTGGTTGAGTCTTGTATGTGCCCTAACTGGGGATTGAACCCTAAACCTTGGTGTATGAGGACTACACTAACCAACTGAGCTACCCAGCCAGGACTGTAGCTCTCTTACTAATTACTTGTTACTAGAAGTGCTTCCCTGCAGCCAGGCCTGAGCTATGTGTCCCCTGCCTTCTGGGCTTCCACACGTGGTAGAAGGACCCTCAAACATAACATCCCAGTGAGCCCACCTCAGCCCCTAACCTTCCCCACCCACATCCCCTCTTCCCAATAGAGAAGTTACCTGTTTAACCTGGCTGGGTGGCCCAGTTGGTTGCACACAGTGGCCTCCTCACTCTTCCCAACAGCCCCAAGCATACTTCTGTCTCAGGGCCTTACACAGGCCCTTCCCTCCACTTTACAACGCTCTCCCACCAGATTCCCGCATGGCCCTCACTCAGATGTCTTTTCTCGGGTGTAGTCTTCTCCGGAGACAGTCCCTGAGCCTCTTTACCCTGAATCACAGTTAAAGTTGAATCCCCTGGCCACTCCCTACCCCTTTCCTGGCATTCTTTTTCTCCCCTCACTGTGGTCTCTCTCACCCACTAGGATGTCAGTTCCACAAGGGCAAGGGTTTTTGTCTGCTCTCCGCTCCCAATGTCCAGAACAAGGCCTGGGACAGGATGGGTGTTCTGTAAATATTTGCGGAACGAACGAGTGAAGAACCGATGGTACACATATTAATAGCAACTGTGCCTCCCGTTTGTTAAGCAACTTTTGTGCCCCAGCCGTAGTGTGAGGCTCTTTCTCCCTCGAGCTTTGAGAGGAGGAAACAGACCTGGAGGCCTGGAGCAATGGTGTGAGTCAACAGGCATGGGAGAGGCGCGGCTTTGACACCCACCTCGCTTCCCCAACAGGAAAAGAAGAAAGCGCTGCAGGAGGAGGAGGAGAGGGACCAGGCCCTGCAGGCCAAGGCGAGCCTGGCCATCCCCCTGGTGCCTGAGACGGAGGATGACCGCAGGCTGGCCGCCTTGCTCAAGTTCCACACGCTGGACTGTGCGTGGGGCTGAAGGGGCTGGTGGGATGGGGAGAGGAGGGGGGGCCCCGGCTCTGAATGGCAGACCAGGGCAGAGGGTGGCTTTGGACCTCTTTCCCCTCCTCTCCCTCTCCCCCAGCATATGAGGACAAGCAGAAACTCAAGCGGACAGAGATCATCAGCCGCTCCTGGTTCCCCTCCACCTCGGGGCCCAGCAACTGCAGCAAAGCTGGCAGCGTCCTGAAGAAGCTGGCCCAGAACCGGAAGTCTGCACCCGCTGGCTCCCCCATCACTGTGGGGGGGCTGGGCATTGTGCGAAGGCAGTCCCGGGAGACCTCAGAGAGCCCGCAGCACGTCGCCGAGACTTCCCACTCTGGGAAGCTACAGGGGTCAGAGGGCACCACCCAGGACTTGCCCGCATCCCCCCGAGACTGCTCTCAGGAGATAGCCAAGACTCCCAAGACAAAGGAACCTCAAGGGCAGAATGGGGGCTGTCAGGACAGGCCTCGGACCTCATCAGGCACCTCTCAAGAGGCAGCCGACCCCCAGGATACACCACGCCCCTGCACCCTCAACTCTTCCCTCGTGGCTGACTACTCAGACTCGGAGAGTGAGTGATTTCGGGGACTGGACCCCCTCTGGAGGCTGAGGCATTCCCAGGAGATCCCTCAGAGACTGCAGTCTCACTGGACCACCAGCCTCCGAGACCTCAAACATCACCCCTTCCTCAGACCTCGCCTTCCTAGTGATGGAATTATTTATTTGGTCCCAAAGAGGGGGAGAGGATGTGTGTGCCTTGTAGGACATCCCCTCCCCCCAGACTTATTAAAGCGCTGCTTCTTTGCCCTTGCCTCCGGTTACTCGATGGGCCCAGGGGCTGCCCCTCTACCCCACCCCATCCAACCAAGCTGGCAGGCCTCTCATAGCAAATGGTGATGCCAGGGCTTCAGCTGTGACCACAGCGGTGGTCCTTACCCAGGATGATGAGGGTTTCAAGGTAGTAGCTCTAGGGTTTCAAGATTGGTCTGCAATCAGGACAGACTTCCCAGAGGAAGTGACGCATGCTGAGTGGGAAGGGTGGGTAGGGGACCAGGAAGCAGGAACCATGCAGGGGGCCCAAGGTTGGGGGGCACACGGGGTGTCCATGCAGGTGTGAGCTGTTCCTTGTCCCTAGTCCATGGGGGCACCTTACAAGGGTCACTAAAAAGGTCCCAGAGTGTTGCTGCTTTTGAATGAAATGTAAGACAGCAGAAAATAGTTCAAAACCGCCACACATACACCAGGAATTAACAGCCTGTCGCCTCATTTCACATCACACATCCTGATGGAGCACGGGGAGGGTGCCAGGCACTGTTCTAGCCACAGGGGAAACGGCGATGAACAGGCGCAACTCTCTTAGGGCGGAGGTTCCAGCTGAATTCGTACTCAGGGCGTGGTGGTCGCAGGAGTTGTCCCAGCCCACCAGCCCTGCTCCCCAATGGGGCAGTCAAGTCTCAGGGCAGCAGTGAGAGCCGGTTAGTTCCTGACATCTCCAATCAGGGCTTTTCTCTTCCAGAGACAACCGGCAGCACTTGCTCTGGCCTGATGGGGCCCGCCTGGGACTTGGCGGTCATAGCTTGACCAGCCAAACGCCAAACACAAGGTCTGGCATCTGGAAGATGCCCCGAAAATGGTGCCTTTGTGGTTCGGAGGGGGAGGCCCTGGAAGGGGATAAAAGACTGAATCCTGGGAACCTGCAGGGCTGCGCACGCACGCGCCTCCTTCCGGCGAAGGCCCCGCCCACACGGCGCCGCTGCGCCCGGGACCCAGTGGAGCACGCCGGCCGCGCCATGCCCCCTCTGGAGGCGATCCGCTACTCGCGGGGCTCGCTGCAGGTCCTCGACCAGCTGCTGCTGCCCCAGCAATGCCGCTACGAAGAGGTGGCCTCGGTGCGCCAGGCCTGGAAGGCGATCCACGCCATGAAGGTGGGGTGCAGCGCCGGGGCTGTGGGCGGGGCGCGCCCTCGCCGGCGCCCCTGACGCCCCCAACCCTCCCCTCCAGGTGCGCGGCGCGCCTGCCATCGCGCTCGTGGGGTGCCTCAGCCTGGCCGTGGAGCTGCAGGCCGGGGCCGGGGGGCCGGGGCTCGCCGCGCTCGTGGCCTTCGTGCGCGACTCGCTGAGCTTCCTGGTCACCGCCCGGCCCACCGCCGTCAACATGGCCCGCGCCGCCCGCGACCTGGCCGACGCCGCAGCCCGAGAGGCCGAGCGGGAGGGCGCCACGGAGGAGGCCGTGCGGGAGAGGTAGGGGGCTTGTGCCAGGCGCTGCTCCGAGCAGAGGCGCATTTTGTTCGCACAGCGACCCATTGTACAGATGAGAAGCAGATAGGGCGCGCTTAGCCCAAGGCCTCCAGGCGGAGCTGGGAGCCCGCCCCAGGCCCCAGGAGCTTGGATTCAATACCATGGTTGTGTTTCCCTGAACATGCCCAGCCCCCCTTGCCCTTGGAGGTCCTTTTCAGTACCACCTCCTTCTGCCCAGGTTTTTCTTTTGAGGAATTTTGGTTCTTGTCTCATCTGTTCCCTGCCTTCTTTTTTTCCCCCGCTCTCCCCCTTCTGCTCCAGCCACGTGTCCTTTGACCCCACCAGGCTCGCTCCTGCCCCAGGGCCTTTGCACATGCCTTCTCTCTAGAGCAGATGCCCCTCCTTCAGGTTTAAGGCTTCTGTCTTCCCTACCCCCTGTATGTTACAGCTCATCCTCCACCCCCACCCCCCTGACTCTGCTGCCTTTTTCTTCACGTTATTTTTATATTTTTTAATTGATTTTTTACAGAGAGGAAGGGAGAGGGATAGAGAGTCAGAAACATCAATGAGAGAGAAACATCGACCAGATGCTTCCTGCACACCCCCTACTGGGGATGTGCCCGCAACCAATGTACATGCCCTTGACCACAATCGAACCTGGGACCTCTCAGTCCGCAGACAGATGTTCTATCCACTGAACCAAACGGGTTTTGGCTCTTCGCGTTATTATCTGCTCCTTTTTTGCCTCCCCAACTTGTGTCAGCTCCATAGGGGCAGAGATTTCTGTCTTGGTTACTGCTGGGCCCCCCAGCACTTCGCACTAGGGAGGTGCTCAGTTAACATGTGTTGCATGAGAGCGAATGGGGTGACAGGTGGTAAAAGCATCTAGGCCTCACAGCTGTGAGTGGCTTTCAGCAAGAGCGTTGGGCAGGAAGGAGGGGCCAGCCTAGGCCCCACGGCTGACAGTCCCCTGTCGGCCCCAGAGTGATCCGCTACGCTGAAGACATGTTGGAGAAAGACCTCAAGGATAATCGGAGCATCGGAGACCTGGGAGCCCACCACCTCCTGGAGCGGGCAGCCCCCACGGGCGGCAAGGTGACCGTGCTGACCCACTGCAATACAGGTGCCCTGGCCACTGCTGGGTATGGCACAGCCCTGGGTGAGTAAGTGGTGTTCATGGGGATAGGGAAGGGCCCCTTTTGGATTCAAAAGAAAGAAAACCAAACCACTTTTCCCACCTACCCAACCCCCAAAATGGAAATAGATTAGTTCTTGTACAGAAACAGGAAGATGCCTTCAGGTATGGCTGGGTCCAGGAGTTCAAAAAATTAGCATTAGGACCCATCTATTCCTGTCCCGGTCCTGCTCCCAGCCCATGGGTCAGCAGAGGGCCCGCCGATGTTCAGATCAGGAGGAGAGGAGCCTGTGCCAACGATATAAAACTCCTCATAACTCAGGGGCTTTGATGGGGTCACCTGCCCACCCAAGATCAACCACTTGATGGACCTGGCCTGAATGGGCAGAATGTGGACTTCAAGAGAACTGAAGGGAAGGGAGTGATCCCCAAGGAATGATTGGGGTAGCAGTAACCTAGAGAGGGGGAACTGGTCCTAGGGCTCAAGTCATCAGATTCCACTTGATCTTAAATTCCCCAGATTTCTCTACCTGCTTGGATTTCACTTTGGGGCCTGGGGACTGAGGCCTGATGGCAAGACATCATTCATTCATGTGCTCAACAGATAGTGGCACCTACTCTGTGCCCTACCACTCACGCATGCATGCACTCTTTTATTCACTCCGCATTTATTAAGCAACTACTATGTGTCCCACCATTCATGAGTGCAAGCTTTTTGCATTCACTCAACAACAGACATTTATTAAGCATCTACTATTTGCCAGGCACTGGGGAGCCAGCAGTGAGCCATTGGGAAAGGAAAGTAGAAGGAACAGACAAAAGCAAGTCAATAAATACATAAAATGTGCCGAAACCAGTTTGGCTCAGTGGATAGAGCGTCGGCCTGCGGACTGAAAGGTCCCGGGTTCGATTCCGGGCGGGGGCATATACCTTGGTTGCGGGCACATCCCCAGTAGGGGGTGTGCAAGAGGCAGCTGATCGATGATTCTCATTGATGTTTCTAATTCTCTATCCCTCTCTCTTCCTCTCTGTAAAAAATCAATAAAATATATTATAAAAAAAAAATACATAAGATGTGTTCGGAGGCGATAAGAACTAAAGAGGAAAAGCAGGGGAAGAGGTCAGAGGTGCGGGGGTTGCTATGTGAGATGGGAGGACCAAGGACGGACTCACCAGGTGTCCTCTAAGCACATGTGCACTGGACGGAGGGACAGCCACCACGAGGGCCTGGGGACAGGGAGCCTTTGGAGATCTGTGCCCTCCACTAATGGGCCACCACCCCTGCCCATCTGTCCCTTTCTGCCTCATCCTGGCCTTTTGGTGAATCGGGTCCTGCAGGTGTGATTCGCTCGCTGCACAACCTCGGTCGCCTGAAGCATGTCTTCTGCACGGAGACCCGGCCCTACAACCAGGGAGCCCGGCTGACCGCCTTCGAGCTGGTCTACGAGCAGATTCCCGCCACCCTCATCACCGACAGCATGGCAGCCGCCGCCATGGCTCACCAGGACGTGTCAGGTCAGCAGGTGGAGTGCCCGCAGGTGGGGCACCAGCACTCAGGGCTCCGGGCATCCAGGGTCAGGTGATGACCCCCAACATCTTGCTCCCCAGCTGTGGTTGTGGGAGCTGACCGCGTGGTTGCCAATGGTGACACAGCCAACAAGGTGGGCACCTACCAGCTGGCCATCGCTGCCAAGTACCATGGCATCCCCTTCTACGTTGCTGCCCCCAGCTCCTCGTGTGACCTCCGTCTGGAGACGGGCCAGCAGATCGTCATTGAGGAGCGCCCAAGCCAGGAGCTGACCGACGTCAATGGGGTCAGGATTGCAGCCCCCGGTAAGCCATCCCTCAGCAGGGTACCAGAATCTGGGCACCTTTGGTTAGGTACCCATCCCCTTCCCAAGCGGCATCTGGGATGTCATTAGCCTTCTAGGGCACAAGCAACATCAAGTTTAAGCCTATTTCAGAAACAGAAACAAGTTGGAAGTCAAATTCTCTACCCCGGTTTGCTCACCTGAAGAACAAATAAGAATCCTGTCCAGCCATTTAGAGGCACAGATATTTCCCAGCTTCCCATGCTCCCTGGCTGTGCAGCTATGAGCAGGTCGCCTAAGTTCTGTTCTCTCATCCCTAAGAGCCCCTGTGCTCCTCTCTATAAAAGAGCTGTTATGGCCCACCTCATAAATCCCAGGGCCTTCAGTGGATTAACCGCATGACCTGGAGAATAGGCCCAGCCCTATAGGGACCCTGGCCGGCATGGCTCAGTGGCTGAGCATCCATTTATGAACCAGGAGCTGCAGTGCAATTCTCAGACAGGGCACATGCCCGGGTTGCAGACTCGATCCCCAATGGGAGTTGTGCAGGAGGGAAATCAATCGATGTGTTTCTCTCACATGGATGTTTCTATCTGTCTTTCCCTCTCTCTTTCACTCTCCCTAAGAATCAATGGAAAAAAATGTGCTTGGGCGAGGATTAACGAAAATAAACAAACAATTAAATAAAATTGCTTTATAAAAAGAAAAAGAAACATCATTGAAAGAGAATCAGCTGCCTCCCGCACACCCTTTACTGAGGATGTGCCCGCAACCAAGGTACATGCCCTTGACCAGAATCGAACCTGGTACCCTTTAGTCCACAGGGTGATGCTCTATCCACTGAGCCAAACCGGTTAGGGCTCCTTAGCGCTTTTTTAAAAAGAATACATTGATTCTGAAAATTTTTTTCTCATTTTATTTTTTGGCATCCCTGCTTTCCTAGAGGCATAATTAGCATTGGTCATAATCCCTAAGACTGTGGAAAGCAGAGCTGACAACCCACACCCACTGAGGTAAAACTGGGAATGCAAGACATTATGTTGCTCCTGCCAGTGGTCATAGGAATGCAGACCCCAGAGAAATGGGTCTTGTGTTTTTTCCAAGAGAAGCCTTACTTTTTAAAATATATATATATTTTATTGATTTTTTTTTTACAGAGAGGAAGGGAGAGGGATAGAGAGCTAGAAACATCGATGAGAGAGAAACATCGATGCATGCCCCTTACAGGGGATGTGCCCGCAACCAATGTACATACCCTTTTTTTAAAAAATATATATATATATTTTTATTGGTTTTTTACAGAGAGGAAGGGAGAGATAGAGAGCTAGAAACGTCGATGAGAGAGAGACATCGACCAGCTGCCTCTTGCACACCCCCCACCGGGGATGTGCCTGCAACCAATGTACATGCCCTTGACCGGAATTGAACCCGGGACCCTTCAGTCCGCAGACCGACGCTCTACCACTGAGCTAAACCAGTTTCGGCAGCTTACATTTTTTAATATAAGAAATCTCCCACCTTCTGAAAGGTGGCAGCTAATTCAGTGAGCCTGCCCTAGCTGGTTTTCTCAATGGTTAGAGCATCAGCCCTTGGACTGAAGGGTCTCGAGTTCAATTCCAGTCTCGGGCATGTACTTCTGATGCAGGCTTGATCCCCAGCCCTCGGTCAGTCTCTCACATCCATGTTTCTCTCTCTTTGTCTCTCCAGCTCCCTTCTAAAAATCAGTGGGGGAAAATATCCTCAGGTGAGGATTTACAGATAAAACAACTGTGAGCCAGAGAAAAAAATGTGCAGCCTCTTGTGTAAGACATTGTAGTCTACACTGAGTAATTCATTCGGCAAATGTCTTTGAGCTCCTGACTAATGCTAAGTGCTGGGATATAGGAGTGAAAAAAGACACTAAACTCCATGCCCTCGTAGAGCTGACAATTTGGTCAGGGAGACGGACAATAAGATAAATAACACAATTATAGGAGGTAAGGGCTGAGGAGAAATAAGGCAAGGAAGTATCTGTACAGGGGGGTTTAGACAAGATGATCAGAGAGCTTCTCACTGAGAAGGTGGCATTTGGGCAAAGACTGAAGGAAATGAAACCTTGAGTTCTGCGTATCTGAGGTAGAGCTTCTAGACAGAGGGCAAGGCCCATTGCAAAGGCCCTGGAGTGGCTTCTTGGAGGTTCTTAAAGAGATCCAGGTAAAAGTAGGGTGGATGTATATAGAACTTTGAAACCTTAGTGACATTTCAGGAATGGTGTGTGGGGAGGAGTCTAACGTATTACTGGGTACCAAAGCCCACGTCTTCGTGCACTTTGGGGATAAGTATCCCCAGATTCTCAAGAATTCCCTTTCTCCAACAACCACCATGGGTGTGGGGGGACAGGTGACAACCACCTGAGAACTTTCACAGACGTAAACACCCTCCTTTTTGCCTCCCTTCTCTTCCCTGTAGGAATTGGGGTCTGGAATCCTGCCTTCGATGTCACCCCCCATGACCTCATCACTGGCGGCATCATCACAGAGCTGGGTGTCTTTACCCCCAAAGAACTCCAGGCAGCCCTAAGCACCGCCACCTCCTGAGGGTGGGGACATTAGCTGGACCCCAGAAGTAACCAACCCAGCTCTCCATACCCTACCCCATCCCCTTAGGTTTTATAATAAAATGTATTGAATAGTCTGACCTTCCCCTAATTACACTTCTCCCTAGAGCAGGGATAGCGGACAGATAGTCTTTGCATGGCAGCTGGAGATAGAGTTCCTATCCCAGTTCCACCACTCTTTTTGCTGTGTGATCTTTGTTGGCCAGGTCACTACACCTCTCCATGCTGTGGTTTCCTCATTTATAACATTAGGGGCAATACCTATGGCTTTAGGTTGCTCTCAGGATGGGAACAAGGGTAACACCTCAAGCACCAAATTTTAAATGGGACACCAAAACCCTCAGTAACCAAGATAAATAATACTTTCATGCAATATTTTTAACAATCAAAATTAGCTGAAACTGGTTTGGCTCAATGGATAGAGTGTCGGCCTGCGGACCGAAAGGTCCCAGGTTCGATTCCAGACAAGGACATGTACTTTGGTTGCGGGCACATCCCCCAGTAGGGGGTGTGGAAGAGGCAGCTGATTGATGATTCTCTCTCATTGATGTTTCTCTCTATCCCTCTCTCTTCCTCTCTGTAAAAAAAAAAAATTAATGAAATATATATTTTTTTAAAATCAAAATTAATGCAAGAAAATTACATGAACAAAATACCAAAATACTAAACAGAATGGAAGCCTACCTTCGCACACCCTAACCTCTACCAGCCCTTGTCCCAATAAAACTTTGTTTACAACATCAGACCACCAATCTACAAGCAGTAGTTTCGCGGTGTGATTTAAAAAAAAAAAAAAATTAAAATGTTATTTGTAAATGTTGAAAACACCATCTTTGATTACAGAATTTTGGGTACCCTTAAATGTTGCACCAGTAAAGTGCCTAACTCACCTCATGTTTGTTTTTGGACCGAACTTTACCTACAAAGAACATAAAACTGTACGTTTCACAAACCATGAGCGCCCAGGGAAATATTACCTTATCATTGTAACCTTCCCTTTAAAATGTTTGCCATTGCCAAACGCTGTCCTTTGAAGAACCCTCTTTGTCAGGACGCCAACTCTTTGCCACGTTGTTTCCCGTGCGCCCTTGCGCGTCCCGGCCCCGCTGCATCCCATCATGCCCTGCGGCTTCCGGTTGCGATTGCTCAGCCCCGCTTCTTCCTGCGCACGTTCCGTCATGGCGCAGGGGCAGCGCAAGTTCCAGGCACAGAAGCCGGCCAAGAGTAAGGCGGCGGCGGCGGCCTCGGAGCGCAGCCGGGGCCCGAGGAAGGGAGGTGAGGAGAGGCCCGGGGGCCGGGCGAGGTGGGCCTGGGGCGCCCTGGCCTCACGCGAGCGTGTCTTCTCCCCCCAGGTCGTGTGATCGCCCCCAAGAAGGCGCGCGTGGTGCAGCAGCGAAAGCTCAAGAAGGTGAGTGGGAGCGTGCCGGGGGGGGGGAGGGATGGAGCGTGCGGGAGGTCAGCGCCGTGGAACAGGAATGGCGCCAGCGGATTGAGTCTAGAACCGGCGGAGGTTGGAGCTGGGACCGCCGGAGTGGCCGGGAATGAGGCTGGAGCCGGCCGGGGGCGCGAGAGAGAGAAAGAGAGAGAGAGAGAGAGCGCCTTGGAGGTCTGTGGCCGGAGGGATCCAGGGATGAAGTCTGGATCCGGGGGTGGATCCTGGAGAATCCGGACTCTGAGCCTCACACCGGTGGCCAGCCGGTGGCCCGTGAGGTCCGAAAGGCGGGCGACCGCCGGCTTAAGGAAACCTTTGGAGCAAGGCCAGGGCGCAGGAAGTGTTCCACGCGCACAAAGCTGCTTTGGTGGTTTCTGTGTTCGAATGGGACTCGGGAGGGGAGGGGAGGTGGCATGGGATCGGAGTTGAAAACCCCTGCTTTGCACGAAGGCAGTGATGGGGGCGAATCGTAGGTCCATGGATGAGTACAGTGGGACCTCGGTTCTCGAACTTGATTTGTTCCAGAAAGCTGTCCAAGAAGCGATTCGATCGAATCGTTTTTCTTCATTAGAAATCATGCAAATTTAATTAAGCCATTCCAGACCCACAAATTTAAAAAAAAACACCACATATATATATTAATATATATAGTACATGTCTGAATGTACTGTTTAATCCAGTGGTTCTCAACCTTCCTAATGCCGCGACCCTTGAATACAGTTCCTCGTGTAGTAAGTTCCTCATGACCTCCAACCATAAAATTATTTTCGTTGCTACTTCATAGCTGTAATTTTGCTACTGTTATTAATCGTAATGTAAATATCTGTGTTTCCCAAGAGTCTCAGGACCCCCAAAGGGGTCCCGACCCACAGGTTGAGAACGGCTGGAAAGGAAAACACTTTTTTCATAAGTTTATGGGACCACCTCCTACTAACCTGAAATCACTTGAACATTCATTCCGGGTCAGCATCCAGCATCTGAGTTTGTCTGTGTATCACTGCCTCCGAAATACTCTTTGTTTATCCAAATCAACCGTTTTTCTACCTCAGTTGCCTGTGATCATTGCTTCTTTCACACCCTTAGCAACATTAGCACTCTTTGTGTTTTAAAATTGTGCTAATCGTCGTTTTCACCACCAACAAAGGCACTTTCTCCTTTGTGTATTGCCTGAGAGACGTGAAAAAATTGGTCCAAAACCGAGACATTTTTTCTGTGAACTTGGTTGAGGACCAGATGTCCAAGATCCAAGACATTGGAGAACCAGGGTTTGGCTGTGTTTGCTCACCACGAGCCTCTTACCTGTGAATTGGAAAGGTGTAAGGACTCAGTGCCGTAGGGCACCTGTAAAGCGCTGAGCACAGCACAGGGCACCGAGAAACATTAGCTGTGTTGGTTACTGTCATTTTTAGGGTTCAGCTTATAGAAAATTACAACTGATTTCGGTAGAGTCAGAGCTGAATTTGAGTTTTAGTCCACACTAAGTAATGTGTAACCTGCATCAAATTCCCAGAGCCGTGGTTTTCTCAGACCTGGATCCCCAGCAGCCTGCTACCTCCAGTCTTCATTTAGGAAGTTTCTGTCCTACCGAATTTCAAAACATTCATCATCCTGGATCTCCTCCTCACCCTCTCCTCCCTGTGCTGCCCTCTTCCCCAATCCCCCATAGCAGCCAGAGGGCGCCTGTGAGCACTTAAAAGTGAGATCATGTTGCCTTCTCTGCTCAGAACCCTCTCTCTCTACCTCTCTGGGGGGATATTGGACCGGAAATCAAGCCCTGTTCACTATGCCCTGTGCCCTGTCTCACTTCCCTGCCCTCTCCTCCCACTCTTCCCCTTGCTCCCTCCAGCCTCCCTGGCCCTTTAACTGCTCCTTGTCCCTCCTCAGCTTTGCACTAACTGTTTCTTCTGCCCCAGTTCTCCCAAAAATCACCTGGCTCCCTTCCTCTGAGTCAAGTCTGACTGCAAGTGCTGCTTCTGAGCAGCTTGTTCCTGATGGCAGCCCTTCAGCCCCACCCCACTCACTCGCCCTTGTTTTCTTTTCTCCAAACATCTCTTACCGTTTACCACCGTTGAACAGTTTGACGTGATGTATCACTGGCATTTATATTGTCCCCACTGAGTGTCAGCTCGCTGAAGGTAGAGTTCTCCTGTGTCCTGTTTGCTGTTGTGTCCCCTGTGCCCTGGCATGTGGTGCTGGCTGTGGCCATGAGTCATTGGAGTTCATACAGGCAGGGCAAGGGGATGGTTTGGGAAATATGATTAAATACCAGTTTTGGACCCAGACACACGTGCCTTTACTTGCTCACATCCCTGTCTCGGAGCCCCCGTTCACCATGCGCAAAGCGGAGGGACTGTCCACCTGGAGGCTGAGACCAGAGGATCCAGTCTCTACTCATGTGGTTTGCAAACCCTAGGCAACTGCCTCCTCACTGCAGGAGCCTCAATTTCCCCTTCAGTGAAATGGGAGTGAGCAGAAGTTTGGACGCTGAGATCCAGAAATGAGAAAGGGTGTGGTGTGTGTGTGTGTGTGTGTGTGTGTGTGGAACACCACAAAGACTGTGGGGCAAAAGCAGGACTTAAACCACAGCCTCCAGACTCTAGGGTGCTGTTTCCGGGGGTGTCACTGGTCCAGCCCCAGGTCAGCCCTCCCTCACTCCCTCAGCATCAGATCCCAATCTGATTGCCCCTCGGTTGCCCCTTCAGGACCTGGAGGTCGGGATCCGGAAGAAGATTGAGCATGACGTGGTGATGAAAGCCAGCACCAGCCTGCCCAAGAAGTTGGCGCTGCTAAAGGCCCCCGCCAAGAAGAAGTAGCAGCCTCTTCTCCACCAAGTCACGTTCCTAAGGACGCAGCCCCTGCCTCCACGCTCAGACCTCTGCAGGGGACTCCACAGGCAGCGCCGCGGACAGGGGGAGCCCTGCTCCCCAGAGCCTTGGGTTGCAGTTCAAACTTTGGACTGGGGTGGGGAGTAGGGGTCTGGCCTGTGAGCAGTGACCAGCACATCTGTAGTGCACGGGTCAGTTTCCCCGGGGCCGAGAATTCAGCAGCGGTCTTGAGGAAATGTTCAACGTTCTGTACCATCCCCCCTCAGTTCCCCATCAGTTCCTTTGTCCACTGGTTTCATCAGAGCAATAAACCTCCTTTGTCCTTCCCCTTGCAGCCACACGCTCTGTGAGCGGGCCAGGGCCAGAGGTCAGGGAGGGTGATTGAGCTCCTGCACATCCATCCTGGGAGTTCACGGAGAATCTTCCCTCCAACCCCAGTGACTCACCAACCTCCTTACCTGCCTAGGCCAGTGGTGGGCACACTGCAGCGGTTTGCCGCTCTGTTGACTAATGAGTTTGCCGACCACTGCCTTAGGGAAAAAACACTTAAAAAATATTTTAATAATGTATTAATGTCTTTAACCTGAAGTTAAGACTTCTGGGTAAGGGTAATGCCTACAGCAGTGGTCAGCAAACTCGGTCAACAGAGCGGCAAACCATGGCGCACATGTGGCTCCAGAGCTGCAGTTTGCCAACCACTGGCCTAGGTCACCCCTTCTGCCCGGTACAAGCCAGGAGAGATGGGGGACCATTTTCCCATCTGTAGGACAGGTGTTGATTAAACCAGAATGCACTTATGAACTGTTCAAAGCCACCTCTATCAAAATAAAAGTCAAAATACTGGGTATGTCTATGGCTTGTGCTTTCTGCACATCACTTCATCCCAAGTTGGGTTGGGTTAACACTCCAGAGTCAGTACCTGAACCCACCACTGGCTGAGTCCCAGTGTGTACTCAGCTGACCTTCCCACACCACGATTTTCTTCTGTTTCATTCTGAGCACCCCCTTCCCCAAATCCTCACTCGAGCCTCAGGCTGGACGATGCCTGTGGAGTCAGCGGGCTCTGGCCTGGTGACTCTCCTCCCTGCGTTGGGGGTGAGAAGTAGGTCTCAGCACAGCGACCAGGCTGGGCCCAAGGAAACTCCAAACTGAAAGTCTCTCCTTCAATTCAGGCTCTGCTACCACAGCTCTCAATTTTTTTAGACGTAAAGTATGGTGTGTGTGTGTGAAATTGCTCTCCCGGTTTCTGTGTATGTGTGTGGTTAAAACATGAAATTTAAAGGCATTTTGTGCAAAACTTACCACTGAAAAGATGGCCTATCCCCAGTAACGGTCAGTGCCTGTTCCCGCCTTCCCAGTCCCTGGCAGCCACTGATTTGCATTCTGTCTTCTAGGTGTTTGTTAGATGAAGAAAGGAATTATTTCTGTAAAGAAAAAACTTGGCCAAAACCGGTTTGGCTCAGTGGTAGAGCGTCAGTCTGCGGACTGAAGGGTCCCGGGTTCGATTCCGGTCAAGGGCATGTACCTTGGTTGCGGGCATATCCCCAGTGGGGGATGTGCAAGAGGCAGCTGGTCGATGATTCTCTCTCATCGATGTTTCTAACTCTCTATTCCTCTCCCTTCCTCTGTGAAAAATCAATAAAATATATTAAAAGAAAAAGAAAAAACTTGTTTTTTAATTCTCACCTGAGGATATTTTTCTGTTGATTTTTAGAGAGAGTGGAGGAGGGAGAAATATCCATGTGAAAGAAGCACATCATCGGTTGCCTCCTGCATGCGCCCTAACCAGGGCCCGGACTGGGGAGAAGCCTGCAACTGAGGTATGTGCCCTTGACTGGAATCGGACCCGGGACCCTTTGGTCCGCAGGCTGACGCTCTGTCCACTGAGCCAACCTGCCAGGGCCTTTGAAGGACATTTTGCAGGTTCAGTGACTATAACACACCTGCCCCAGCTGTCTGATTCACAGCATTAGCCTTTTCTTTGGAAGATTTTACAGCTCTAAATTGTAAGCAGCTGATAGCAATAGCAAAACACTCTTATCTGAAGACTTGCAAATGCCAGCCCTTCCAACAGAGGTTCCATCGACAGTCCTCCCCAGTGGTAAAATCGGTTTGCCTCCCTATGTATGACATCTGCCTGGATCCCACGTGACTTCAATAAAATGTTAACAGGTTCATTTTTATGTCTGAGTAGGTTTCACCTCCTGAAAATGAACTTTTCTCTGGAATCTCCAAAGATCAATGGCTGGGACAGGATGACTTTGGGCAAAGAATGTCATTCAGGTGTGACAGGTATGGGGTCTGGAATGTCAACCCACTTGTTCCCCGTTACCCCACCCCTCAGACTCCCCTAACAGGCACATTTTTCCCTGCAGCCACTGCCCTGCCTGACTTCCTTCCATCCTTTCCCTGGCCCACAAACCTCCCATTAATGCCGGAGCCAGGAGCCCCAGACTTTGGAAAATCCCACACCTTTCATTCCGTGCCAATTTCTGCCACTTCCTGTCTATGACCAAGTCCCTTCGCCTCTCCGGGCCTCAGTTTCCCCATCTGTTAAATGGGATCCTGACACCCTTTCCTCAGAATGGAGAATTAGGACCCTTAAGGCCATGGGTGTGATTTTTAGCTGCCCTTGTGTCCCAAGTCCCACCTCTCGGCCTGTCCTCTCTGCCTGTCCCTCGGGCCTCTTCCCCAGACACAGGGCAACCATTACATGTGGCTTTTCAGACACAATTATTCCTCCCCAAGACTTTCTCTTCCCTCCCTCCTCTTTCCCCCTCTGCCCGGATGACCATTTTTCCTGGCAGGGCCCTCACACTTTGCCCGTGAACTGTGTTCCAAAAGGAAAGAAAGAAAAAAAAAAAATGTAAGAAGCAAATCTTGCCAGCGGGGCAGGCCAGAGGGGCTGTGGGGACCAGGAAGCGAAACTGCCCTGGCTGGTTTCCTGCCTGAGTCAACGGGGCTGACGGGGGCCTGGCAAAGGGAGCGATCCTCAGAAAATTAGGGAGGGGGTGGCCACAGCGAGGGACTTTGTTCTCCCTCCTCTGAGCCTCCAGGGTTGCCCCATCTCCCGTGAGTCCTGAGGACACGTGGGTTTGGGGTCAGGAGCTGTGGATGCCTAGACAGTGAGCTCACAGCCGGCTGGGGAAATAAAAGTGGCTTCTATTTCACTGAAACCCCAGCTCGCTGGCTGCCCTGGGAAAGGGACCACGAGGGCAGCTGGAACCCCTTCCCAGCTTCTTCCCTAAGAGGGCAGCCTTGAAATGGGCCTAGTGACTTCCTCCTGGGGCACCCTCGTCTTCCCAAGGGCCTTTCTGACCTCACACGTTCTCCTAGGATCACTTGGAGAAGAAGAATAAAGTGGCCTTGAGCAACCTCCTGACCCTCTCTGGGCCTCCTTCCCCTTATCTGTAAAATCAGAATAGAATCTTGGTCTATGCCAAACTCGGTGCACTTGATCCCAGCCAAGGTGACAGGATCAGCTCACCCTCCCAGGCTTCCATCCTGGTCCTGCCCTTTCTGCTGAGGGCGTTGGGGCAGGTGACTGATCTTTCTGTGCCTCCGTTTGGTCACCCAGAAATGGGGACGGTGACAAATCAGTATCTGTTGTTAGAGAATAAAATAAAACATCTTTACTCTACCCTGGCTGGTTTGGCTCAGTGGATAGAGCATCAGCCTGTGGACTCAAGGGTCCTGGGTTCGGTTCCTGTCAGGGACATGTGCCTTGGTTGCGGGCATATCCCCGGTGGGAGGTGTGCAGGAGGCAGCTTATAGATGTTTCTCTCTCATCAGTGTTTCTGACTCTGTTCCTCTCCATTCCTCTCTAAAAAAATCAATAAAATATATATTTTTTAAAATCTTTACTCTGTAATAACAGATTTTTAAAAAATATATTGTATTGATTTTTTACAGAGAAGAGAGAGACAGAGAGTTAGAAACATCGATGAGACAGAATCATCAATTAGCTGCTTCTTACACACACACACCCCGCAATTGGGAATGTGCCCGCAACCAAGGTACATGCCCTGGACCGAAATCGAACCCGGGACCCTTTAGTCCACAGGCCAATGTTCTGTCCACTGAGCCAAACCGGTTCCAGCTATAATAACAGATTCTCAGTGCCTCCTAAACATCCTCTCTTCCACTGGCAGGAAGTGACTTCTCTGATTCAGCATCCGGGGATGCCCACCGGAGCATTCTCAGTGAGAAGGACCTGGGCTTACTAACACGGTCACATGCCAGATGCTGAAGGGGGTGACCAGGAAAAGCTGGGCCTGGGTCTTGTTTTCCACCTGAAACACACTTTGTGGAAGTTTCTCCCTTCCTCTCTCCTACCCCAGTTATTACTTCCCCAGGGGTCTCTTTTTCAAATTCTTTGCAAGAAAATCCATTAAGTCTAGGTTTTCCCATTCTGGGTGAGCTCAGGCCAGGATTCCAACTCTCCAAGCCTCTGAGAAACAGAGACAACTATCCCCAGGTGTAGCTCTCTAGGAAGGCTTAAATGTGGTAACACACCTGAATAGCTGGAGCAGTCAGTCAGTCCACTATTATTATTAGTCAAGAAGTTTTTCTGTGTTTTTTCAGTCCACTATTATTGTTTCTGTTGTCATTATAGTGGGCTGTGGTTCTCAAGGCCACAGTTATCAAAAAGAAATTACAATGCAGCTGCATGTGTAACTTTAAATGTCTTGATACCACCTAGAATGGATCAGAATAGCATGGGATGGGATGGGATAGGATGGGATGGAATAATAAAATAAAATTAGGTAGAATTAATTTTAATGTTTTTTTAAATATATTTTTATTGATTTTAGAGGGGAAGGGAGAGGGAGAGAGATAAAACCATTAATGATTAGAGAGAATCAACTATTTAGCCACCTCCTGCACATCCCCCACTGGAGACCAAGCCCACATCCCAGGCATGTGCCCTTGACCAGAATCGAACCTGGGACCTTTTAGTCTGCAGGCCAATTCTTTATCAACTGAACCAAACAGGTTAGGGCTTAATAATGTATTTATTTAACCCATATTTATATAAAATATCATTTTTTAAAATATGTTTTTTACTGATTTCAGAGAAAGAGGAAGAGAGAGAAACATCAATGATGAAAGAGAACATTGATCGGCTGCCTTCTGCACATGCCTGCAATCCGGGCATATGCCCCGACTGGGAATCAAACTATGACCTCCTGCTCCATAGGGCGACACTCAATCACTGAGCCAACCATACATCATTTTATTATTTTAATATCTAATCAATATAAAAAGTTGTTAATGAGAAACTTTAACCTTTCTTTCTCTCACACATACACACACACACACACACACACACACACCAACAGACTTCAAAAAACACTCTGTGGCTGAAACCAGTTTGGCTCAGTGGATAGAGCATTGGCCTGCGGACTGAAGGATACTGGGTTTGATTCCGGTCAAGAGTATGTACCCTGTTTTCCCAAAAATAAGACAGTGTCTTATATTAATTTTTGCTCCCAAAGATGCGCTAGGTCTTATTTTCAGGGGATGTCTTATTTTTCCATGAAGAAGAATACGGTACACATTTATTGTTAAATGAAAATAAAGGAAATTTTATTACCTGTATACGGTACGGTAGTACGGTAGTTGTCAACACAAACCAGACAAACTGTGAATCCTACAGTATCAAGAATTTACTCATTTATTCAATGACAATCATGTCATCATCTTCTGGAACATCATCATAACAATCTAATTCCTGAATTTCCTGGTGAATTTCTTGTGACTCCATTTCTTTCAGAATCAGTGGACCAAATCTCTCTGTTTAGCAATACACTGTCTTTAAATGAGTACTTCTTGTCAAGGTAGCCTGCTCGCAGTGCATTTGCAATGCAACTGTCAGTGATTTTCTCCCATGAATTCTTCACCCAAGTCACAACTTCTTGCAGTTTAGGTTTCACAAAGTTTCCACACTGATTTCTCTCCATTCTATTTTCAAGGTAGTCATTAATTTCCATGCGCAAATTGTCTTTGAATGGCTTATTTATTGCAATATCAAGAGTCTGGAGATAGGCCTTATTTTTGGGGGGATGCCTTATATTTCACTCAGAAGAAAACATGTAAGTAGGTCTTATTTTCGGAGGATGTTTTATTTTTGGGGAAACACGGTACCTTGGTTTCAGGCACATCCCCAATAGGGGGCGTGCAGGAGGCAACTGGTCAATGTTTCTCTCTCATTGATGTTTCTAGCTTTCCATCTCTCTCCCTTTCTGTGAAAAATCAATAAAATATATTTTTTTAAAAAACAAAAACCACACTCTGTATTTTACAACACAGCCCAATTTACGCCAGCCCCATTTCAATGACTCAAAGGCCACTTGTAGCCCATGGTGACCATATGCAACAGTGCAGGTGAGAGGGAGTTGACTGGGTTGGGAACTGGCCAGAAAGTTGCCACGGTGAAACTGGAAATTCCTGGAAGGTAAAAGCCAGTGTTTCCATATGAGGAGGGGCCAGCTTCGGTTTTTCCTGTTCTGTAGATCATTTCAACAGAACGGGAGCAAAGCATGAGTGGTTCAGGGTTCACCAGAGCAGTTACAGATTCAGTGCTGGGTTCCTGGTGCTGTTCAGGTCCTGGTTTGTAAAGCAATGCACCAGTTAGCTTCTTGGGGCTCCTAGTAGAGAGGGAGAAACAGAAATTAAACTGCTGAACTAAAGAAATGTGTTGATCCTGGAGAGAGGTGTGTCAAAGGAAAAATGCAGGATTCTCTAAGGACAAGGGGTTGGAGGTGGATAAAGAGCAAAGATGTGGCTTGGAAAATCTGGGTCCGGAAAAATAAACACATGTGGTCGTATTTGACATGTATTTCGTCAAACCTTACGAAATTGCCATTTGAATAGGTCATAAATGGTCGAACATCAACAATTTCATGACACAATGACATATTTAGGGCACAAAATGGATTGGGTCCTAGCTTAGGGCTCAAGGATGGGCTTGAATCGGGATCTATTTCTAGAGCGGAGGTCCGCAGCCCCCAAGAGCACTACTAAGGGGCCCGTCATCTCCCCTCCCTCCCCCCAAACCCCCCAATTCCCCAACCCCCCAAGCTATCAAAACGGCCCGGCGCCCAGGGTCTGAGAGTTTCTCGCTTCACAGACCAGAGGAAAAGGGGCTGAGCTGCTGCGCGGGGATCCCGCCGCTCCGTCTCGCTCCCCGGCGGAGCCGTGTTGATTGTCCCCTCGCGGCGCCCGGAAGCGACCCTCCGTAAACAAAGCCGTATGTGGGCGCAGCTCCAGCTGCCCGGGGCGCGCTGTCCAGCCCGAGGGGGGCGGGGGAGGAATGTTGTGAATGAACCCAAGGCCCGCCCCGAAACTCGCACAAGGCCAGCGCCGCGGAAGTCCTCCCACTCTGATTGGCCTCCGGCGCTCCCTGATTGACAGTGCCTCTCGCTGAGCATTCTTACTGGGCCTCTCCGTCAAGACAGGCGGCGCAAAGAACGAATCAACAGCGGGAACTTGGAGTTGGGTCTGGCCGGGCAGCCAATAGCAGAGGAGGGTCTCAGAGGCCGACGGGGGGGCCAATTGGGAAGGGCGGCGGGGGCGGGACGAGGCGGAGGATAAAGCGGCGGCCGAAGCTGCTTCATTGTTGTGAAGAGTCTTAAAGGGGCCGCATCGGCCGGCCGGCCCGGCGCGCTGCGGGGGTGGGAGTAGCGGGGGTCCGGGTGCGGCCCTGCGCGGAGGAAGGTCTGGAAGGCGGTTAGGAGTCGCGGGAGCCGGCGAAGCGGAGCGGGCATCTGACCGACCCCCGTCCACAGGCCCCGCCCCGGCCCCGGCCGATGGACCCCCCCGCGGCCAAGCGGAGTCGGAGCTGCCCCGCGGGACCGAAGGAGCGCGATGCCGGGGCCGGGGCCGTGCGCGGCCGGGGCCGGCCCGAGGCGCTGCTGGACCTCAGCGCCAAGCGAGTAGCCGAGAGCTGGGCCTTCGAGCAGGTGACCGAGAGGGCGGGGGAGGGACGCACCCCCAGCCCCTGTTCCGGGAGTCCTCCTCCCCCTGCCCAGCCCCGTTTCGATACCTGCCCAGGTCGGAGAGAAATCTCCCAGATCCTTAACCCTGCCCCGAGGCACCCCTTATCTTCCCATTTCACTCCTTCAAACCTCACGACCCTCTCTCATCCCTTCCCCGCCAGCCCTGCCCTCCAGCCCAAAAGACCCAGGGATACCCCCAGCGCCCCAGATCCCAACACTTGACACTTCCTTCTCCTCGCCATGGCCCTCTCACAACCCTGGGTACCCCTTTCTTCCCATCTCATCCTCATCCCCCATTAGAGCGCCCCATTCAGTCCTCACTCCTCTCTAGCTCCTACAAGTTGCCCCCAATGGGGACCCCCCCAGAGCACAGCTCCTAGAGACCCACAATCCCCTATTCCAGATCTCTGCCCTATACCCCCAGCAGACGACTCCCATTTCTGCAGATCTCAGCCGGGGACACCCCTTTATGCTCCTCCTGGTCCCTGTCCCCCTACTCCCACGCCCAGTTTTTCTGGGATCACTTCCTACCTGGGGCTGCTGAGTCTCTCCTGAGGGGCTGCAGGGATTTCCCAAGACCCCTACTATTCACCCTTCTCTTCGCTACCCTCACCCCCTCCATCCCAGTCCTTCCCGAGGCAGGCAGCAGGGCCGGGGTCTGTGTTGTGATGGTACCTAACAGGTGCACCTGGAACCCCGCCTCTCTGGCTTCTGGGTGGGGAATCTGACGGGATGCCCAGGGCTGGAGCCCAGGATGTCCCCTTTTCCAGCCTCAGTGTGGGTGCCCCAGGAGCTGGAGATGTGTGGCCCAGACCTGACCAAGCCTGATGCACTCCCACAGGTTCTGCCTGGCTGTGAGAGGCCATTCTTTGCCCCTGGCCTCTCCAGACTAGGAAGCCTGCTGGGACGGATGGGTCTGGGCCGAGAGTGGATGGAGCATGCTCTGATTCATGGCCTGGAAAATCCCTCCTTAGTCATCCACCAACTGTCCCTGGGGCCTGGGCCAGTCACCGGCCCTCCCACTTCCTCTCTGAAACCCAGACTTGGGGGCTGTGGAGGGCTCCTGCCTCTTCGTTGTGCGTGAGACGCCCACAACAATCTTAAAACCACATCTGGGACTCGGTGTACCTGCCCTGGCCAGGCTGGGCACTAGGGGAAAGCCCTTGCCCCATAGAAGCTCATAGAATCTTCTGCAACCGTTGGGAGTTGTGGTTTTCCCTTCCCACTCGGTGGAAACTGGGGCACAGAGAGGTTGAGAAACTTGCCCACGGTCATCCAGCCCGTGAGCAGCAAGCCTGGATTGGAACACAAGCTGGTCCAGCTCAGTTCATTGCCCAGAGCCCACGGGGGCGGCTGGGGCACCCCTCCCTTCCTGGGAGCTGGGGACGGAGTCTGTGTTGGGAGCTGGAGCTCGCTGGCTGTGGGACACTGAGCGAGTGAATTCACTCATTTACAGCCTAAGATTCCCCAGGCACTAAATGGGATTAGTATCACTGGGATTTTGCTGTGAGAATGAAAAGAAATTGCATACATAGAGCATTTAGCAAAGCCTAGGCTGAGAAAATATAGCCCTGGTCACTATTCTTATAACTTTTAGCTCGCTCGCTCTCTCTCCTGCCCTCTCAAAGCCTAGGTCCTATCTTACATCCGGACCCTGGCACCTGATACCCAGGAGGAAAGCAGCAGAAAGTTCTCGAACACTCACTATGGTGTTATTATAAGCAATTTAGGTAGGTTAATGCATATTTAGTCCTCAAGATTCCCCAGAGGCCAAGGCTGTGAACAGCCCCATCACCCTTGAGAAACCTGAAGCTCAGAGAGGCAGAGTGACTTGCCCAAGGTCATACAGCTTCGAAGCGGCAAAGCCAGGGCTCAGGCAGAGGTTTCTAACTCCCCGGCCCTTCCTTCAGGTTGAGGAGCGTTTCTCCCGGGTGCCGGAGCCGGTCCAAAAGCGCATTGTGTTCTGGTCGTTTCCGCGCAGCGAACGGGAGATATGCATGTACTCATCGCTGGGCTACCAGCCTCCAGAGGGCGAGCACGACACGCGGGTGCCCTTCACCCGAGGGCTGCACCTGCTGCAGAGCGGGGCCGTGGACCGCGTGCTCCAAGTGGGTAAGCACCTCCCCGGGGGGGCCGGGCGAGGCTCCGGATCTCTGGGGAAGGTTGGACCGAATATTGCGAACAGAGCCGAGACCTCAGAGACCTCAGGCTGCAGGCTACGATAAAGGGTCTGGAGGAAGGGTGTTGCGTCTGTGGCCTGAGGTCTCGGCCGATTAGTTGGAGGGTGGGGAGGCATTGCTGAGGTTGGGAGGAGGCCGAAGCATCTAAGCTGGAAATAGGAGGAGGTTCCCTACCTCAGAGAGCCCCAGCGAGGTGTTCGGCCGGGGGCCTAACAGAGCCAGGGGCAATGACACCAGGCCTCAGGCGAGAACTCGGGTGGGGGTTGGGATCACACCTGAGGCCAGGAGGCTCAGTCAGGTGGAAGTCCGTGGTAGAGGTTCAGGATCAGCTGTGAGGGCTGGTCTTGCCCCTCAGGTGTTGGGGCCCAGGGGAGGGGAGGGAGCGGAGGTTCGAAGCCAGAGGGGAAAGGTGATTCTAGGCCTCAGGCAGCGGTGCTCAGGAGGGAACCAGGAGAGCCAGAAGGCAGCACGGGAGCACATGGGGCAGGTCACGTCTCCCGGCTGGAGGCGGGGGCTTGGCCACCATGACCCTCCCTGAACCCTGGCCCCCTCGCCTGGACACGGCCCCGCGGTATGAGGAAGCAGCCGTTTCCCCACATGACGCAGCCGGGGCCGGCTGGGGCCTGAGCTGCCCAACCAGTCTGATGAGCCTGGCATCTGGGCTCCCCAGGGGCCAGGGAGGGGCAGGGGGTGATGGGGTGACCCGGCCTGCCAACCTCTGCCCCTCACCTCCAAGTGACACAGGCCTTTGGCATCGTCCCAGGAAGCTACAGGGAATCTGTATCCCTGATAGCCCAAGACTGGGAAAACCATCTCTGATATCTTCTGTTGAGTAACTTGTATACGTGCGTTTGTGTAGGACTTGCTGTATGCCAGCAGTGTTCTTCTGAGCCCTTGCTAACTACCGTGTTTCCCCCAAAATAAGACATCTCCTGAAAATAAGACCTAGCGCAACTTTGGGAGAAAAAATTAATATAAGACACTGTCTTTATTTTCGGGGAAACAGGGTAGTAACTCGTTTAATTCTCACGACAACCCTGGAGGAGGAAGTTACTGTTTGTTCTCATTTGACAGATGAGGAAACTGAGGCACAGAGAGGCTCAGTGACGTGCTGTAGGTTCCCGAGCCGGCATTTGCCCTCGGGTACTGCTGTGCGCCGTGGATGCGCGCCCCCTGCCTCCGCGGTGACGGTTGGGTGTTTGTCTTAGGCTTCCACCTGAGCGGTAACATCCGGGAGCCCGGAGGCCCCGGGGAGCCCGAGCAGCTCTACCACGTGTCCATCAGCTTTGACCGCTGCAAGATCACGTCCGTGAGCTGCGGCTGTGACAATCGCGACCTGTTCTACTGTGCCCACGTGGTGGCCCTGTCTCTGTACCGCATCCGGCACGCCCACCAGGTGGAGCTGCGGCTCCCCATCTCCGAGACGCTGTCCCAGATGAACCGGGACCAGCTGCAGAAGTTCGTGCAGTACCTCATCAGCGCCCACCACACCGAGGTGCTGCCCACCGCCCAGCGCCTGGCCGACGAGATCCTCCTCCTGGGCTCCGAGATCAACCTGGTGCACGGTGAGGGCGCCTTGGAGTCTGATCGGGACGCTGAGGCGTCAGCTCACAGCCACCCCGCTCGCCATGTGACAGACAATTGTCTCAGAATCCTCAGGTCCCTTTGACCCAGGAGCAGGTGTGGAGGGAGTACCACTGCCTGAGGTCCAGGGCTCCCACCTGTTAGGAGGAAGATTCTGGATTTGATGCGGCCCTGGCCAGATGAATGGCTGACATCAGCCAATTCAGAGAAGGAGAGTTGAGGGGACAAATAAGAGGCAGGGCCCCAGGTCGGCCTGAGTGGATGGGTGAAGGACATGAGGGTATGGAGGTGCTGGGTGTGGGTATTGGTGGGAGACAGACAACGAGGTGTCATGAGCTCTGGGAGGGTTTGGGGCTCCAAGGGATTGTGTTGTCTGACCATCATGGTGGGGAGAAGGGAGCAGGATAAATGTGAGATAGATGGATGGTGAATAGGTGGAGACGTGGACAGATACTTGAGGGTGGGGGTGGGTGGATGCAGAAGGTGTTGATGATGAGCTGATGGTGTGGAAAAGCAGGTGGAGTGGGTGAGTGGATGGGTGATTAACCAGAATGGTAGGTGAATGGGGAACTGGTGGTAATTGGAGGTGGGGTGGGGATGGGCTTTGATTGAGGGGGTTGAGGTACCCTGACGGTGGTGGGCAGATGTGCTTGGTGGAATATTGGAAGGACCAATGGGTGCCTGGATTGGGGGTGAGTTAATGGATGTATGGAAGGAATGTTCATGTGTGTGGACTGATGTGATGGATGAATCAAGTGGGTGTAGGACAGATAGATGGACTAACCAGGTGGTGGTTGTTTGGGGAGATACATGTGAATGGATGGTTTGATGGAAGAAGGATAGATAGATGGGGTTCATTGGATGGGTGAATAGTGCGGTTGTGTGGATCAATAGATAAATTAGTCAGTGGATATTTTTGAATGTTTAGTACAGATTAGCTGGAAAGACACATATGGGTAGGTAGCTGGATGGGTGGGCCAATGGAATAGGTATAGATAGGTGAGCAGGTGGAAGGATGGGTAAGGTGGATCCTTGACTAATGAGGTGGGTAGGTATGCTAAGGGTTATGGGTATATGGATGCATAGATGCATAGTATGACTGGGGGTGGGGTAGCCAGGTGAGTGGTTTAGATGTGGATGGGTGGATGATGCTTGGGTAGCATGGATGGATGAGTAGAAGGTCAGGTGATGTTTCAGGTGGGTGGACCATCATCCCACTTGAAGGGGTGAATGGGTGGGTGGTGTTTTGGGTAAGATGGATGATTAGTAAATGGATGGATAAGCTAGAGATATTTTAAGCAAGATGGATGGATGGATGGATGGATGGATGGATGGACAGGTAGCATTTTAGGTGGGATGGATGGATGGGCAGATTAGTAGTTTGTTTCAGTTAAGATGGATGAATAAGTAAATGAATGAATGAGCAAATGATGTTTGAGAGGAATGGATGGATGGATGGCACTTTAGATGGGATGATGGTCAGACAGACGGAAGGATGGCTGGATGGTTTTTTAGGTGGGATGGGTAGGATGGTTGGAGGACTGAGTGATGGCAGGGGCAGAGGCCCCCTCTCCCCAACCCAAACTTCAGCTTTCCTTCCCACCCCACAGGTGCCCCTGACCCCACGGCGGGTGCGAGCATTGAGGATGCCAACTGCTGGCATCTGGATGAGGAGCAGATCCAGGAGCAGGTGAAGCAGCTGCTATCCAACGGTGGCTACTACGGCGCCAGCCAGCAGCTGCGCTCCATGTTCTGCAAGGTGCCGTGTGGGCGAGGCGTGCACGGCGGGGCTGCGTGGGGCGGGAAGACGCGGGGCCGGCACCCCACCCCGTCCTCACCAGCCCGTCCCCACGCAGATTCGAGAAATGCTGCGGATGCGGGACTCCAACGGGGCGCGCATGCTGATCCTCATGACGGAGCAGTTTCTGCAGGACCCGCGCCTGGCCCTGTGGCGGCAGCAGGGCGCCGGCATGACGGACAAGTGCCGGCAGCTGTGGGACGAGCTGGGTAAGGCCCGGCCCCGGTGGACATGGGCATTAGAGCTTGCCCTCCCCTGAGATTGAGGCCTGGCCCCTGAGTCCTTCCTCTTCATCCGCACCTACGAGGCACTCACTGTACGGATGGCTGGAGCCGCAGGGAGAAGCAGGTTAAATACCTGCCCTCACGAAGCTGGCACCCTGTAGGGGAGACAGATGAGAAAATACTGCAAACCCGTTAGGCCAGGGGTTGGCCAGATAGTCCATAGTTTCAGCTTTTTGGGCCATTGGCTCTCTGTAGCGGCTCCTCCGTTTTGCCTGTCGTATTGGAAAAGCAGCCGCAAACAGACGTAACTGAATGGGCGTGGCAGAATTCCCACAAGACTGTATTTACAGACACTGTTTATGTGAATGTCCCAAACCACAAAATATCCTTTTGGTTTCCCCCATCGCCACCATTAAAAACTGTAAGAACAGGTCTAATCTCGCAGGCTGTTGAAAAGCAGGTGGCGGGTGGATTTTCTCCAGGGGCAGTCATTGGCTGACCCCTGTGATGGATGGTGGTAAGCACCAGGGAGGAGGGGGACAGTGAGAGACATCCCGAGGCCTGGGTTCGAATCCTTCCGACTTCCTAGCTGTGTGACCTTGAGCCAGTGACTACCTCTCTGTGCCTCCGTTTTCTTACCTGTAAAGTGAAGAGACCATTAGTTGTAATCTCAGAGGCCCAGGGTGAGGGTGAAGCAGAGTGGTGCACAGCACACGGTAGGCAGTCCCTCAATGTTGCCGCTACTGTTGACATGGATGCTGAACCTCCCCATTCACTGCCCTCCGCAGGGGCCCTGTGGGTGTGTGTGGTCCTGAGCCCCCACTGTAAACCGGAAGAGCGGACGAGCTGGCTCCAGCTGCTGGGCAAGTGGGACAAGTTGGACGTGTGCCCGCTGGAAGAGGGCAACTACTCTTTCAACGGTCCGCGCCTGCAGCCTGCCACAGCCCTCAACCCAGGTAGGAGAAGGGTCCCTGCCATTACCCGAAACCATGAGCTCTGCAGTGCCCTACCCCCATGGTGCTCTGGGGGAGCAGGAGGAGGCCCCAGCCCTCCAGGAGGGAGGGAGTGCCCAGGCAAGGCAGTGGGTAGCCCAAGGGACAGTGCGGTGTAATGCTTAAGACACCTGTAGTTCTTTTTTTTTTTTTTCCTTTTCTTTTTAATATATTTTATTGATTTTTTACAGAGAGGAAGGGAGAGGGATAGAGAGTTAGAAACATCGATGAGAGAGAGAAACATCCATCAGCTGCCCTTGACCGGAATCGAACCTGGGACCCTTCAGTCCACAGGCCGATGCTCTATCCACTGAGCCAAACCAGTTAGGGCAAGACACCTGTAATTCTGGCTCTTCTCCTAATTTAGGCTCTACCTGGCAATGGAGGTGGGCGTGGGGGGGACAGAGGAAAAAGCAAAGATATATATATATATTTTTTTTTTTTTTTTAAAGGCAGAGGCAGCTGGTCAATGTTTCTCTCTCATCGATGTTTCTAGCTCTCTATCCCTCTCCTCTCTGTAAAAAAATCAATAAAATATATATATATATATATATATATATATATTTTTTTTTTTTTTTTTTAAGGCAGAAATGAAAGGAAAGAGACAGGAGGAGAGAGAGGAAGGAGGCATGGGGAGAGACATAAAGAGAAAAAAAAAGCAGGATGTGAGGAGTAGAGAGATTGACAGCAAGACAGTTATCAACCTCAGTGTCCAACACACACACACACACACACACACACACACACACACACACGTGTGCCCCTTTGAAAGGCTGCCGTAAGGATTTGAGAGGCACCCGGAGTGTAGCCCTCAGTGGCACTCAGTGTGGAGACTGCTAGGCCATGCTGGACCCCTCTCCACAGGCCCCGAGGAGGAGGAGGAGGAGGCGGCTGCAGGTTCCCGCCACACCGTGTTTGGCCGAGCCCTGCAGGCTGGGTCCCTGCACTGGAGTGACCCCCATCTTCAGAGGATCCTGGCCAGTGACTGCTACGGCCCCAGCCTCACAGGCCATGTGGGCAGCGACAAGGCAACCTTTGACCCCCAGGGCCGCCCCCTCTGGCTGGGGGAGCCATTCCCCACTGCTTGTGCCCGGGTGGACACCCTGCGTGCCCATGGATACCCCCGGCAGGCCCTGCGGCTCGCGGGAGCCATCGTCAACACCCTCCGGCTACAGCGGCGGCACCAGCTCGAGAGCTACAAGCAGCAGAAAAAAGGTGGGCACCCACGTTACCATGAGGTCCTGGGGCTGTGGCAAACCCAGCGGGTCTTTGTTTTTTTTTTGTTTTGTTTTTTAATATATTTTATTGATTTTTTTTTTTTTTTTTACAGAGGGGAAGAGAGAGGGGAAGAGAGAGGGATAGAGAGTTAGAAACATTGATGAGAGAGAATCATCGATCAGCTGCCTCCTGCACACCCCCCAACTGGGGATGTGCCCGCAACCAAGATACATGCCCTTGATCGGAATCAAACCTGGGACCTTTCAGTCCTCAGGCCGACCCTCTATCCACTGAGCCAAACCGGTTTCAGCCCCAGGGGGTCTTTGGGTACCACCTAAGGTAAGGTGACCAGACGTCCCGCTTTGGGCGAGACAGTCCTGATTTTTAACAATTCGTCCCGCGTCCTGTGGCGTTTTAAAAAAAAGTCCCGATTTTTGAAAAAACGCCGCAGGACACGGGACAAATTGTTAAAAATCGGGACGTCTGGTCACCTCACCCACTGAGAAATCAAAACCACTCTAGGTGCCTTGAGCACACAGGAATTTAATGCAGGGGGTGGAGGGCTCACAAAGCCACTGGCAGGGAAGCCGCCGCCTGAGTTTGAGAACTTGAACTTCAGAAGCACAGTGAGCACCGCAGCCTGCAGCCTCCACGGGGGCGCAGTTCCCAAGAGAACACCCAGAAGCTGCTGGCTGGGCCTGAGAGAGGTGGGTGGGACTAGGGGTGGAGGGGGAATGATTGGATGGAAGTTTTAGAAAGTGCCCAGTTCCTCCAGGTGTCCTGCCGGGCCTGGGAGTGGCTGTGGACCGGAAGCCAGAGGCTGTAGAGGTGACAGCTGCTGCAGAGCTCGGAGGGGCAGAGGAGACGACCGACCACGGGGTGGGCAGATGGTGGGAGGCTGGTTTGGGGGTTCAGAGAGAGAAAGCCCCCACCCCCAGGGACTAAAGAAGGTGGGTGGGCACTGAGCCCCACTTCCGGTCCGCAGAGCTGCTACAGAAAGGCTCCACCTGCATCACCAACACGGAAGGATGGGTGGGTCACCCCCTGGACCCCGTCGGCTGCCTCTGCAGGGCGCTCCTGGAGGCCTGTCGCCTGGAGGAAGAGACCCTTGCCCTTTACCCAGGTACCCTCGCTGGGGACCCCTGGAGGAGGGGGGGCAATCCCCACCTCTCTGATCGACCCCCCCTGGCTCAGTACCCCTAGAAAATGAGGTCACACCCTTACCCTTACTGCAACCTTCTCCCCGCCCCCCTTCCTCCGTGCAAGGAGCCAACAGGCTTCGCTCCTGAAAGTGCGGCCACTGTAGGCCTGTCCGCTGCTGGAAGGTGGCCCCAGCCCCTGGTCCGTGCTGGGAGCAGTGGGACTCCCCTATACCATGTCCCCTCAGCCTCCGTGCCCGGGGTTATGGGCCACGGGGGCCCCAGGAGAGGGGGCCCCCTCCAGCATTTTCAGCGCCGTCTCCCGCAGACTCGGGCCCTGAGAAGCGGAAGGTGGCCTACCAGCATGTGCCGGTGCCCGGGAGCCCTGGGGAGTCCTACCTGGCGCTGGCGCTGGAGGTGGCGCTGCTGGGCCTGGGGCAGCAGCGGGCCCTGCCCGAGGGGCTGTACGCCCAGGACAAGGTGGTGCGCAGCGAGGAGCAGCTGCTGGCGCTGCTGGAGGAGGTGGAGCTGGACGAGAGGCTGGTGCAGGTGCTGCGCAAGCAGGCGGGGCTGCTGCTGGACGGTGAGGCCCCGCCCGAGCCTGGTCTTTGGTCTTTGGGCGCTTTCCCTTAACATGTCATGAGAGAGGAGAGTCCTGGCACGTTCTGGCAGCCGGAAACTGCTGGGAGGGGTGAGGCCCGGCTCTCCGCCCACGTTGGAGCCCCTGAGCCAGGTCCCTGATGCCCAGCTGGGCCTCACTGGCTCTGCCCATGGTGCTGCCTTACAAGGCCCCACCCCTCATCCTGCCTCTGAGACCTGCCTTCCCAGGGGCGCCCAGGGTTCCCTCTTTTCGAATTTTCCAGGCTTTTCTGTCTCAGCCCAGTGTCCCCATGCCCAGGACCTCTCCTACCCCTAGCCCCTGCTGCTCTATCCTGAGGTCTGCCCATCCCCTGCTCCGCCTGGGGCCCGGGGAGGTCTGGGGAGGGGCGGTGGTCAGAGGTGAGCCCACACCCCGGGGCTAAGCTCCGCTGCCCCGCAGGGGGTCCCTTCAGCGGCTTTGGAGAGGTGCTGTTCCGGGAGAGCGTGCCCATGCACACCTGTGCCCGCTACCTGTTCACCGCCCTGCTGCCCCACGACCCCGACCTGGCCTACCGCCTGGCGCTGCGAGCCATGAGGTGAGGACAGGCAGACGGCGGGGGACTCTGCCCGGGGGGCCCGGCAGGATGGGGGGTGGGAGACCGCTCACATCCCCATCCTCCTCCCAAAGACACAGCCTTGATATCTCAGCCTGACCTCACGCTGGCATTCCAGGCTTCCCCGTGCTCGGACTATTAATTTTTTAGTGTACTATTATTTTTGAATTTGAGAGACATTCCCTTGGCACAAAGTCAGAGTACTTTTCTAGGCTGCTTTGTCCCAACATACCTAAGCAGTGTTCCCACTTTTTTTTTTTTTTTTAATTGATTTCAGAGAAGAAGGGAGAGGGAGAGAGATAGCAACATCAGTGATGAGAGAGAATCATTGATCGGCTGCCTCCTGCATGCCTCCTACTGGGGAACAAGCCTGCAACCCGGGGATGTGCCCTGGACTGGAATCGAACCTTCAGTCCGCAGGCCAGTGCTAACCTGTGATTGGAAATTGAAAGCTGGTCCTCCTTTTACACCGCTGGCACGTTCTGTAGCTGTGCTTTTGCCCCTTGTTTTCACTGCGCGTTGAATCATAAAAGCCTGGTGGTACCACATAACACATGAATTACTGTGAGGATGATGCATCACAGAAGAACCAGTCAGGATAGACATTTATGCTGTTGAACAAAACAACATCACGATAAATTATCCTTTATCATTTTACACGTATACCAGCCGATCCCAGAAGCAGAATTTTGTAAAATCCTTTCAGGAGACAGAGAATCCCATCGTCTCTTCATCAACCCCATGGCCTTTGGTACATGCATGAAGCATTGTTTATTTAGTCCAACCCCGAGGGATGGACATACACAGCACTGCAGTGAACATCGTGCACACACACCCACCTTCCTGGCAGCCCGGGGCTTTGCTGCCTCAGAGGGGAGGCTGCAGCTGAGGCAGGAGGCCTCTCTCCTAGGAAGGATGGAGACTCAGCCTTGCCTCACCATGGGCTTGCTTCTTGCTTCCTCCCAGGCTGCCTGTCCTGGAGACAGCACTTCCGGCTGGAGATCCTCACTCCAACCCACTGGACTCCGTCATGAGTAACCGCTTCCCACGCTGGTTCATCCTGGGCCACCTGGAGACTCGCCAGTGCGAGCTGGCCTCCACCATGCTGACGGCTGCCAAGGGTGAGGAGGACGAGCCCTGGTCCCGGGTCCTCTGCTCCTTCCTTCCTCTTTCTTGTCTTTTTATCTATTTCCACTAGTTTTCCTGGAGCACTTTTTAGATGGATCAAGACTGGGGCGGGCGCTAAGGATGCCGTAGTGAACAAAACTGTCCCACGTCCCACGCCCTGTGGTGTTACATTCTGGTGGGGCCAGACAGACCATAAACCAGGTGAAGAGGATAGCTAGGGCTGAAACCGGTCTGGCTCAGTGGTAGAGCATCGGTCTGCGGACTGAAGGGTCCCAGGTTCGATTCCGGTCAGGGGCATGTACATTGGTTGCGGGCACATCCCCGGTGGGGAGTGTGCAAGAGGCAGCTGGTTGATGTTTCTCTCTCATCGACGTTTTTATATCTCTTATCTCTCTCCCTTCCTCTCTGTAAAAAAAAAAAAAAAAAAATCAATAAAATATATTTAAAAAGAAAAAAAAAGAGGATAGCTAGGCACTAAGTGAGACAAGAACAAGTGCGCCAAGGAGGATAAAGCACATCCATATTTCTCTCTGTCCTCCACTCTCTAAAAAAGTCAATGTGAAAATATCCTCGGTGAGGATTAAAACAAACAAATTAATATTGGTGTAGCTTTTGCCTTGCTAAAGCCTCTACTGGTATGGGTTCTCAGTGGCCTTAGGAGGCAGGTACTGTTCCATTAGTCTTATTCATTGCACAGATGGGGCAGCCAAGGCACCGAGAGGTGGAGTCCCTTGCGCAGGGTCACACAGCAAGGCGGGGATTTGAATCCTGGCGCTCCGATTCCAGAATCCATCCTCTTGACCGTTAGGCACCTAGCAGGTTCCTAATGGCCTCTTCCCACTGGAAGTGGAGGAAGGTAGAGGAGAGAAGGGGGTGGCAGTGCTAAGAGTGGTCGGGGTCTTCACAGGTCGTTGCCAGGTTCGTGACCTCCATGCTCACACCTATGCACCTGTGTGGAAGGAACCGGCATGAACGGCCTGGTATAACAATGGTGCCAATGTCCCTCCCTCCTGCCCCAGGAGACCCCAAATGGCTGCACACAGTATTGGGCTCCATCCAGCAGAATATCCACTCTCCAGCCTTGCTCTTCAAGCTGGCACAGGACGCCTGCAAGACAGCCACCCCGGCCAGCGCACCACCAGACATCACCCTGCTGGGCATTGCCCTGGAGCTGGGCCTGCAGGTGAGGGCCCCCAGGAGAATGGGGGAGGGGGGTGCTGCCTGTGGGTGGGGCCAGGATGTGAGTGGCACCCTTGGGGCTTGGCCACAGAAACTGCAGAGTCTGTAAATTCTGGGAGGGGGAGAATGAGGTTATCAGTGGGTGGGCCTATGAATTAGAGACTCAGCTACAGAGTCTGAAGGTGAGAATCTACCTCTGAGGGTGTGGCCCCGGAGGAGGAAGAGGAGGGTCATGGAACCTGCTGGTGAGAGGGTGGGCCACAGAGGGAGCCTAGGGGTTCTGGCCTTGGAAATGTGACCTGGGGCTGGTGTGCTTAAGGTTAAGGACCATGGGTGGGTAGAGCTGAGGGGGCAGCAAAGCCTGCCAATAAGAAGTAGGCCCTTGCCAAAACGGGTTTGGCTCAGTGGAGAGAGCATAGGCCTGCGGACTGAACGGTCCCAGGTTCAGACTGAAAGGTCCCAGGTTCGATTCCAGTCAAGGGCATGTACCTTGGTTGCGGGCACATCCCCAGTAGGGGCGTGCAGGAGGCAGCTGATGGATGTTTCTCTCTCATCGATGTTTCTAGCTCTCTATCCCTCTCCCTTCTTCTTCGTAAAAAAATCAATAAAATATATTTTTGAGTAAAAGAAGGGCCGTTAGGGGAACCCAGCCTAGAAGTCACTGTTGCGGGTCAGGTGGGTTTGGAGGAAGGTCTTGGCGCTGCCTCTGGGGTGAGGTCTGTGGGTGAGTGTCCCGGCCACCCCCCGGGGCCAGGCCGTCCTGCTCTGGCGGGGCAGAGGCCAGCGTGCGTGGCTGTGGCTGTGGGTGAGGGGCCACTGCAGGCTGGGTGATGCAGAGTTGGGCGGGGCCTCACACATGACCCAGTGAAATGAGAGGATAAGGTACAGCCTGGGGCAGGCGTGCAGGCTCAGGTGGGGGCTTCCCAGATAGAACCTGAGAGCGAGGAGCCCTCAGGCGCAGAATTAGCCAAAAACCATTGCCTGAGGGGACTGGAGTCATTGGGGGACGTGGAAGGGGCAGGGCAAGGGTGGAACTCTAAGAGACCTCCCAGAAGGCAGAGCCCACCAGGTAGGACTGGGGATGGGGCCCGAGGGGAGGGGCAAGCAAGGAAGGTGCTTGTTGGGGTGAGCGCTGAAGAAGGCGGGACTGTGGAGCAGGTGCTCTGTGGCGGTTTCAGGGGGAAGTCTGCGGACATGAAGCATGGAACTTTCTGGAGAGAAGGGATGGGTTGGCTTGTCCAGAGTAGGCTGCATGGGGGCCTCCGCATAACAACAACAATAGCAGTAATAGTACTGGCTGACGTTAGCCGAGCACTTTGAGGCAACAGGCACTGTGCAGAGAGCATCACTACATAATTTTGCTTCTCACAACCCTGTGGAGTAGATGAGATTTTTATCCCCACTTTACAGATGAGTAAACTGAGACCAGAGAGGGGAAGCCATTTGCCCAGACTGTATTGGCTCCCTGGGTCAGCCCCTCACGTCTGTCTGCCCGGGCCCCTGAGGGTCCCAGCCTCTGCCCCTCAGCAGCCTGACGTTCTGGGTGACCTTCTGTCCCGTCCACACGCTGCAGGTGATGCGGATGACCCTGAGCACCATGACCTGGCGGCGGCGGGAGATGGTGCGCTGGCTGGTCAGCTGTGCCACGGAGATCGGTGAGCGTCCCCACGGGGATCCGCCACCCCCCTCTTCATGGGACAGATGGGCACAAGGGAGAAGTAGAGACTTTCCTCTCCATCGAGCCTGCGCTCGGAGCTAAGCCGGGAGGGAATGCTGGGCGGAGGGGCTGTGCTGGGCAAAAGCCCGGAGGCCGGCCAGGCTAAACGGCCTGGAGAGGGCCACTGGCACCAGGGCTGGCCCCCACGTACACGGCCCCAGCCAGGCCTGCTGTGCCCTGTTCTCTTGGGAGGGGGCGAGCACGAAGCTAGCGTGTCTCCAGTCCTGCTGCTGCGGGGATGGAGATGCTGGGGTACACCCGCAGGCACACGTCCACCCTCTCCCTGACCCGTGTCGCCGCCTCGCCTCCCCCAGGTGCGCAGGCGCTGATGAACATCATGCAGAACTGGCACTCCCTGTTCACGCCGGTGGAGGCGGCCACCATCGTGGCGGCGACGGGCACCACGCACGCCACGCTGCTGCGGCTGCACCTGGACGCACCGCGGCGGGAGGAGCTGTGGGCCTGCGCCCGCGCCCTGGCCCTGCAGTGCGCCATGAAGGACCCGCAGAACTGCGCCCTGCCCGCGCTCACGCTGTGCGAGAAGAGCCACGCGGCCTTCGAGGCGGCCTACCAGATCGTGCTGGACGCCGCGGCCGGCGGCCTGGGCCACGCGCACCTCTTCACCGTGGCCCGCTACATGGAGCACCGCGGGCTGCCGCTGCAGGCCTACAAGCTGGCCACGCTGGCCCTGGCGCAGCTCAGCATCGCCTTCAACCAGGACAGCCACCCCGCCGTCAACGACGTGCTCTGGGCCTGCTCCCTCAGCCACTCCCTGGGCCGGCACGAGCTCTCCGCCATCGTCCCCCTCATCATCCGCAGCATCCACTGCGCCCCCATGCTCTCCGACATCCTCCGCCGCTGGACCCTCTCGGCGCCCGGCCTGGGGCCCCTGGGGGCTCGCCGGGCAGCCAAGCCCCTGGGCACGGACCGGGCGCCCCTCTGCCAGCTCCTGGACGCCGCGGTGGCCGCCTACATCAACACCAGCCACTCGCGCCTCACGCACATCAGCCCGCGGCACTACGGGGACTTCATCGAGTTCCTGGGCAAGGCCCGGGAGACCTTCCTGCTGGCCCCCGACGGGCACCTCCAGTTCACCCAGTTCTTGGAGAACCTCAAACAGACGTACAAGGGCAAGAAGAAGCTCATGCTGCTGGTGCGGGAGCGATTCGGCTGAGGGGCGGGCGTCTGGCGGGCAGGGTCTCCCTGGGCGCCCACTTCTGTGCCACCCGCTCAGCGTCGGGCACCTGGGCCGGAGGTCCTGTGGCATCTCAGCATCGAGTCAGGGAAGGAGCCCAGCTGGAGCGAGGTGGCCCTGCCTGCCATCCCCCCCGGCCCGGCTGGCCGTGGGAATGGGGGGTGGCGTCCTGCCACGTGCGTGCCTGGGATTACGCGAGTGAGCGAGTGTGCGAGACGCAAGGATCAGAAGCCATACCACCACCAGGGGCCTAGGAGGGGGGGTAGCTGGTATGGCCCCACTTGGGTTCCCACAAAAGCAATAGCAAGCTCCCCCTCCCCAAACTCACAGGCCTGGCTTGGGCTCCAGGGGAACTGGGAGGCAGGACTTTCCAGAAACTGGCTCTCAAAGTTAATGTAGCAGACACACACACACACACACACACCTGCACACACCCTACTCTGGGTGGCCAGGGGACTTGTGTTAAAGCATCTGAATCTCCTTTTGTACCCTCCTCTCGCTGCCTCAGGAGCCCCCTCCAGGGCATCCAGCCAGGGCCAAGGGCTCATCCCACTGAAGGATTTAAAGAGGCCTCAGGCCTCGGCCACATACCTCAACCCCCATCCGGCCAGGACTCCCATTCCTGTGGGTCCTGGGGTCCCAGGATGGATTAGGGGGAGGAGGGGGTCACTGATTCTCCTCCCCCTACCTGCTAGTCACTGGACATACAACTCAGGAACTGAGCCATGCTCACACTGTCCTCCAAACCTGGTATGAGACAAGCACAGGGAGCCAGGGACTCCCCATCCCAAATTTGGAAAGGAAAGAAATGCTGGCCCCAGGCATCTTCTGGCTCGTCTCTCCCTTCTCTCTCCGCCCCTCCTCCGCTCTCCCTTCCACTTCTCTCCACCCAGCCTGCCTCTGTGTGTCTAAGCCCCGCTGCTGTCCTCTTTGCCTCCCCACCGTCCCCCCCCCCCTTTTCCCTCTCGTAATTAGGGACAAAAGACCACATGATTTTATAACTGATTTTTTTTCCTATTTATTGAACTGTATATTGTATTTTCTTTTTCCTTTTTGTTTTTTTAAAGATTGAACACAGCTTTCTCTTCTTTGAGACTGGGGTGTGTGTTCCCCTTCCCTCCCCCCCACAAACAGGGCCCCCGTTTTTCTCCATAGAAAAGCTCCAGCCTCGCCTGGGGGCACAGCTTCCAGCAGGGGGCAGAAGGAGAGTGGATGCTGCCTCATCCAGTGGGAACCGGGCAAACGGTGGCGGGCAGAGCGGAGAGTCACCACGAGCAAACCCTCACTGAGTGCTTTACCCGTCCTGCCCAAGGAGTGGGTAGGAACATTTCCACTTTACAGGCGAGAAGACGGCGGCTCCCAAGTCTAAGGAAAGGGCATCCGTTTTAGGGAGACACCAACGTCTGACTTGGGACCTTTACTGGGGTCACTGACGGCCCACCCCAGGCTGCATGGCGCCTGCGCCGCTGGAACTAGCCGCTAGGGGGCGCCCCGGCCCCAAGTACCGGCTGGTAGGGATCCTTGTCTCCAAGTTGCGGGGGGGGGGGGGGGGGTGGGGGGGGTGCTAGGTGGGGACACCGCCTTTAATCTAGGCCCTTCTTAGGGGAACTCTGGCCAAAAAGAGGCGGTGGGCGCGGTCAGTGGGGGCGTGTTTGAGCGCCTACACCGATGAGGCTCCCGGTCCCCAGAGGGAGGGGTAGGGCAGGCGAGAGGGCCCCGTTACCTTCCTGCATGCTCCCCGAGAAGCAGGAGCTTCCTGGTTGCCCTCCAGCCTTTCGAGGAGGACGGACGGCCTGGGTCACGGTCAAAGCCGGGCCGACGGGACCGCTTCCGGGAGAGACGGGGCGGGCCGGCTGCCAGTGGGGCGCTGTGATTGGTCGCGGCCCCGCCCTGTGCTCCCGGGGGCCAATGGGGGCGGCCCCACCTCCCGCCCCGCCCTGCGTTCCCACAGGTATGTGAGGCCGGGATCGGCGCCCTCAGCGCCTCCTGGAGGCCTGGGACCCGAGAGAGGTGGCCGCCGTGGGCCCAGCTGTCCCCAGACCGGGCGCCCCTTAGCTGTGAAGTTCTCAAAGTCACCCACAAGTGCCCCCCTCTCCTCCTGCAGACACCTCCAGCCCAAATTCCCCACCCTGGCTGAGTTCTCCCTTCTGTCTGTTCCCCCCTCTCCCCCCCAAAAAATGTTACTACCTCAACACACTCAGGTCCCAGCTATCTGAATGCCCTGCGTTTCCCTCCAAACCTCGGGGTCAGCCTGCACCACCACCACCTGAGGGGGGAGTCCACCCCCCCCCTCGGCCCTGGGAATCATGGCCCCATCTAGGTCCCTCCAGAAAAGGTTTCCCTGTCAACACATCGGCCCCCAAAAGCCAGTCCCCTCTAGTCCAGGGTTTCTTTTGGTCACTCCCCCCGTCCCAGGACACCCCTCAAGGTCACCGTTCCACGCTTGTAACTAAATTGCCACCTTCCTCAGAACAGGTGCAGAGGGGACGGGGTCCTGTGAGGCCAAGAACATGGGGGGCGGGGGGGCGGAGGCAGTAAATCAGGGCTGATTCAACCTCCTCACCCAAACGGCCAGAAACCCAGGGACGACAGGCAAGAATCACAAACACCACACCTTCAGGAATAATATTTAATTGGACACTAAATACAACACACAGCACAGATTGCCCCAAGCCTGCATGCACCCCTGGCAGAGGTGGGGAAGGGGCACACGGGGCCAGCCCCGACACCCCGGGAGCTTCACTCTGCTCTTCATGCTCAGGGACCACCCCGGACTGAGCGGGCCTGCTGGTGTCCTTTCCTCCCCGCCCCGCGTGCCAGTGGGTGTCACGGCTCCTCCCTCCAGACAGGAAGCTGCAGAGCCCAGGTGGAAGGGGTCAGCCGCGTTCACGTCAGGCCAGTCTGGTGCCGGAAGCCTGGAGCTGGCATCTAACGGTCTGAGGGCCCAGGGCAGTTTCCTCTTGGGTAACTAGCTGCTGGGAAGCCAGCCTGTGCCCACACCAAGCTTGGGAGAGGAGGGGCCGAGGCTCCAGGCCCAGAGGGTCGCCCAGATGGAGACACAGCTGGCTTCCCTTTTCCATGGGAACACGGCCCAGCTGGAGGAAGGACTGTGGGGTATCCGAGAGCAGGGTTGGGGGAGGGGACCTGCAGCAGGAGCCAAGTCCACCCACCCCACCCGTCCCAAGTCCCTCCCCAGATACACCGGTAGATCTGAATCCTCCTCTCTTCCCCCAGGCATCAGCCCATCCAGGGAAGGCAGGGCCACAGGCTCCTAGGGGGCTTGACTCCTGTTCCTGCTGAACTGAGCCAGTCTGTACAAAACACTGTGTTTCAGCTCAGTAGGCACGGGAGGCAGAGCCCAGGGAAGCCGGGCGGCAGAGCAGGCAGGGGGAGGTGGCAGAGCTGGAGGAGATGAGGGCTCCGGGGGGCGGAACTTAGCCACTGTGAACATGACTTGGTGCAGACCCTGCTCACAAGCAGCTAAGCCCTGCTCCCCAGGCCAGACACAGGCAGCAAGGCCTCTCTGCCACCTCACCCCCTGGCAGCATCCTTGGTGGTGCTGCTGGTGGTGGTGGTGCCAGTGGTGGTGCCAGTGGTGGTGCCGGTGACGGTGACGGTGACGGTGTCGGTGACGGTGACGGCCCCAGAGATTGGGCTCAGGGTCGATTGGAAATCCCTGGCAATGTGATTTGTGAAAGGCAGCAAATCCCATCCCCAGGAACCCCAACCGGCCGTGGCACAGGGGGAGGGAGGCTCTGGGTGGGGCCATCAGCTGGCACCTGGGGGCGAGAGCAAAGGAGACATAATGAGATTTGAGAACATCTGCTGCTGTCCGCTGGGGCCTGGCAGGGACCCCCTCTTCCCACATACACTCCTCCGACCCAGCCATGCCCCCTGTCCCAGGACAAGATGCCAGGAGAGTCCCAGGCCCAGAGCGGCCGCACGGACTGCCCGAGCCAGGTCTCCACCTCTTCGCCGGCCCATTCCCACCCCCGCGATCACCACGGAGCCCTGGGCAGGCTGAATGGGGCCGTGGGGAGAGGAAGCCGAGGGGGTGGCGGGCAGGCAGTTAAGGAAGTGATCTCACCCCAGCTGGCGCCACTTCCTAGAAGCATGCAGGGCAGGAGGAAACCGCCAGGGCCTCCCCCTCCCTCGTGGTCCTGTCTCCTCAGCAGGCAGGCCTCAGCCTGAGCCGCGCCAGGGCGATGCCAGCAGCGGACACCCAGCAATCCGTTCTGGACATGCATACCCCAGAGCACCAAACCCAGGCTCGAGGAGCAAAGCCCCACTCAGCTGTTTCCCAAATGCCCACCAAGCCTCAGTTTCCCCATCTATACAATGGAGCCAAGGGCTTTTATCTACCTCGAAGCACAATAAGGTTTCACCAAGTGTTTGGCATCAGAACTGCTTACAGACTTTGTGGGGCTACCAGCAACATGAAAAGCACAGGGCCCCTCGTTCAGACATCAAGAATTTCAGGACATACACGGCAAAGCATTTAAACCAAGCTTTAGCCCTAGCCAGTTTGGCTCAGTGGAAAGAGCGTGGGCCTGCGGACCAAAGGGACCCGGATTCGATTCTGGTCAAGGGCATGTATCTCAGTTGCAGGCTCCTCCCTGGCCCGGGCCCCGGGTCTGGGCTCTGGTCCGGACTCATACATGAGGCAACCAATCGATGTGCTTCTCTCACATCAATACTTCTGCCTCTCCCTCTCCCACTCTCTCTCAATAAAATAAACTTTAAAAATTCAATGGAAAAATGTCTTTAGGTGAGGATTAACAAAAAAAAAAAAAATAAGCCAAGTTCCAGGTTTTCTGAGATGGGGGTGTGAGGTAAGACTAGCTCTGTGTTCAGGAAGTGGGGCTCTGTGGCCAGGAGATTCCAACGCTAGAGCCAGGCTGGCGGGGTTTGCTCCCAGGCTCTGCCGCTTCCTAGCTGTGTGACTCTGGGTAATCACTCCGCCTCTCTGGACTTTCCTT